CGTACGTAATATGTAACACTAATATTATTTTATTATATAGCTGTCGTGGTGTGTTTGCTTTTTTCTTTATTGTATATAATATAATAAGCTTATATGTCCAAGTAATATTACACATTATTAAAATACAATATGATAGTAATATTACGATAAATTAAGTAGGTTGAAGGTACCATGGTATACATTTTAGTTTTTACCAAGTGCTATTATTTAAACAAAAATGTTTTTTCCTTATAATTTTTAAAGAAATGGGTTACTATTAAGAGAAAAATAGTCCTCGGACGTGATCATAAAGATATATGAATATATAATACTCTAGAATAAACATTTTAGGTGGCTCTTATATTATTTAAAGGTTATTTAGTTGTCTGATAGAACTCTATCTAACTCAACTCTATGAGGAACACGAGTTTTTTTTTTGTTTATTTAGATCAACATTTTAAATTAGCGGAACTGTAGAATTTCTACACACGTACACCGGAATAATTTCGGTTTATAATGTTAACTATAATTTAAAATATCAATATAATCTGCAAATTTAATTAAACCAATGGTAATTATATAATTATTTCCATAAATTAAAGATTAAATTGGAAATCTATAATTTTGCAGTAAGGTGCAATAGGTACTAACATTAATATTAGTATCGAATTCCAAGTTGTGTATATAAGCATAAATAAGAGTTTAATATTTTAACTATTTTAGTTTTTAATTGACATCATGCTTTAAATATAGGAAACCATTTGGTTCCGATTAACTTCAAAACAACTACCTGTCTATGTAATTATTTAAAGTGCTTTTTAAGTTATTTTGTAAAATATTAAACATCTCAAAGACAATTATATAAAAAAAAACAATACTTATTTTTGTTTGGTAAGGTTTGTTAGTTTATATTTTTTTGAAAATTAATTCACTAAATGTTTGTCTTCATAAATTTAATTTAAACGAAAACAAAATACAAATAACAAAATATATTTATGTTCGGGAAGTAAATATATATATACTATAGTTTCTATTTCTGAAATTGTGAGTAAATGATGTACATTATTATAATATTTTAATGCAACCATGAAAAACAAACGATTTTGTGAAGGATATAAGAGTACAATTAAAATAAATATTGTTTTTTGAGTTCGAAGATACAATTTTATACAATTGATTTATCTATCGAATATTATGTTAAGTCATGCGTTAATGGCGTATTGCTTATTTTAATTGAAATTAGTATATTTTAATATTTTAACTCTAGACTGATTTGTATTAATTTTGTTAAAGTTTGTTTATTTAAAAATATGACTACGTCTGTATAATATAATACAGAGTGTCTAACGAAGATATACTCATTACAATATCTCCTAAAAATAATAAAGATAATCAAATTCTGATTTTTTTTTTTTTTTTATATTACTCTCAGGAATAGGAATAAGAATGTTTAAATTTCAATTAAATTTTTATGTTTTAGTAAAAAACTTTAAAAAAAAATTGAAGGTTCTAGAAAATGGCTACCTTTAAATTTTTCAAAATCAATAAAATAAAAATTATTTTTATAAGTTTTTTATCAAAACATAAAAAATTAATTGAAATAGAAATATTTGTAGACCTTATTTCTATAAATAATAAAAAAAACAAAATTTGATTATGTTTATTATTTCCGAAGATATTATAATGGGTATATTTCGTGGGATACTCTGTATAGTAAAAAATTATCGTAAAATGTATTATTTGTTTGAATAGAATATTCATTTTAGGTGTAAGTATTGGTAAAGCATGATTCCGTTTTTTACCTTTTTGAAAACACGATTCCGTTCGATTTTGATCAAACAATGGATTGTAAAAATGACCTAAAAAAACAACACGATTACCTACGATTTTCTGGGCAGTATTGTCATTTACTATTTATATTTGTCAATTTGTTTAATTTTCTTAAATTATAACGTTATACAATAGTTGATGAACTTGGAAAATTCAAAGTTAAATTTAAAAAAGAGATAATAGTGGGGATGAGAGTGGCCACTGTTGTAGGTGAGAAGTTTTGAAGGTAGGATAAATAAGATTATTTCATTTATACCTGTAAGCAACGATAAGCCATTGCTTGATGAAAAACGATTCCAAGTGCAGTTCAGTAATACATAATTTGAAGTGCTGTAATTTTGTTTGCGATTTTCATTTAAATTCAATTTCAAAATCATTATTAAAAAAAAAAAATTGTCTGATGATTTTAAAAATTGTACTCCATCTAGGTAAGTCCAATATAAGTATTATTACCAAGTTTCAAGTCTCTACATTTATTTGTAACCGAATAAACAGCAAAAAAAATTTCCCAAAAATTAAAATTCCTTAAAAGCTCAAAAGTGGCTTGAAAGTTTTGGGAATAAGAAAATAAATCAAAAAGGTAACAAAAAAGGTATCTTGTGATTTTTCGATTAAATCATTTTTTTTGGTAGAAAACGTCATCCGTGTTTTTAAAAAATAATAAAATCGTAAATTGTACATTTTCCTACGTTTTTCCCACCTAAGTGCTTTTATTTAAAAAATTGTTTTTATTCTAGTACTTTGTAGTATAATTGTTAGACTTAACAATAATGTTTGAAAATTTAATTGGAGGTTCATTAAGAGTCTTACTTTGTAGTAGAAAAACAAAATTGTGTTTATTGTATTATTTATTTTTTATAAAGGAATTTCAATATCAAATTTTGACGAAATTCATTTGAGTAAAATATTATGTGGGTCAAATCTAGTTTTTAAATTTTTTGTCTTGAATAGATATATATTTAAGAAGGATATAAGAAGGACGGTGAAGTGAAAATTAAGCGGACTGCATAAGTTTCGAAATTATAAATATTTTAAAGTTCTGATATTATGCTATGTTAAAAAACTCTATATTGTCTTTCTTGAAGAATATTTGTCGTGATATTACATGGCTATTATCATCTTACGAGTCCCGGGTTTCGAAAAATATATATTTTGAATTTTTTTTTCCCTTTTATCTAAATTAGGAATAAACAAATGCATTTTGGGTGTATCTAAGATACCCAAACCATCGTTTGCTAGGACTATTTTCTTATAACTTTTCACCCCCCCTCCGAAATTAAGTTGTAAATACGCCACTGAGCATACCTACCTAAGTAACTTAAAATATTACAATAACAATTTTTAAATGAAATAAAAAATCGACATCGAAATGCTACAAGGTTTTAAATTTGTAAGATTTTAAGATATTCTTTAAAAATCATAGAATTAGACGATAAATTGTTTTACGATAAAGTAATTTTAATTTCGGTTTTTTTTTAGGGGGAGAGGGGAGGGAGAATAATAATTCATTAAATCTTTTATTGATTTTAGGAGGGCTATGGACAATTTTGATAGTTAGGCTCCCAAAACCCACCTATAACCTATTTTATTAAATTAAGTAAGTACTTGAACAATAAGACTCATACAATGCATATACTGAAATAGCTCCGTGTGCCAGTTGCGTGCCCAAAAATTTTCAAGGGGAGGGATTTTAGTAAACAATAATTATGAATAAATCGTAGAATATTATTCTAAACCCGACCCGACAATGGGAATTTAAGAGTTGGTTCCAAGAAGCCGATTTGCGTTCAATAAATCTGCCTTTCCATGAAACTCAACTCATACAACCCACACCCCCTTCATTCATATGTAGAGCACTGTCGTCTACCTACACTAGTTAGTTTAATTTACTAATCGATAATTTGCCGCCGATATCTATGGATATTAAATAAAGTCTTAAGAGTATTATTTTACATTTTTCCGAGTTTTATGTGGTTTTTTAATGTAGGTTTTTTTTTTATTATTATTAATAATAATGATATAACTTCGTCCGTGGAGTATTCGGCCAATATGGCGGGGCAACAAGTGTTCACCTCTGTCTAACGCACTAGACCGATCGATACTCGGCCGGGCTGCGTTGGCGACCGTGCCGGCGGAGCGGGGAGGGGCTTTCATTGATAATGTGTGTAGGAACCCACGCAAATGTAGGGATTTTGCGCCAGCGCATACGGTCGTCTGGACAGCGATTTTTTTTAACCGAATGCGTAGTAATATAAACCACAGATAACGCTGTAGCAATAAAATTGGGTTGTATAAAGAGAATGAAATACATAGTTATGTCTCGATGTCATGAAGATATTATGACACAATTAAAAGCTGGGTAGTTAGTGATCGAACTATATAAGAGAATTTCAAGTATTTAGGGGGCCTTTCAGGTAAATATTAATAGAAAATATTATCGAAAAAACAAGCACGATTAATTAATACTCAGTACGTAAACTCTTTTAATGTTGTATACTTCATAATGAATAAAATTCTTAGCTCCAGAATATTATGGCAAACTAAAGAAAAGCTTTTTACGCGTATTACCTAAGACCATATGTTAGTGTTCCGTGGTCAACCACTAAGAGCGACGATAAAAAAATATGTATAATCTTTGATAAAAGGTGTAGCCAGGGCGGGTTTTGGACCCATAAACTCCCCCAGACGCCCCTCACCCTCACCCCGTGAAAAATCCTGGCGACGCCACTGATCTTTGAAGTTAAAATAGTGCTGAAAAGAATTAACAGTTTAACAATATACGGAAGCGGAACAGCCGAACGTACGACAAACCGAATATCGAAAAAAAATGTATTATTATATTATGCCGAATGGCTGAAACGGGCCATAAATGAGATCATATCACAAGAGATGTCGGCGAATCGGTTAGATCGGTGGACGAATCGGACGGGGTCGGAAATTGTTACGGTGACGGCGCGCGGTCGGCGTGGCGGGGAGAAGCAAAAGATTCCGTAACTCATACAACGTTATTATACAGAAGGGTACGCGTCCGCGCACGGTGTGTAGGTAGGTATACAGCTGTACACGCGTATGTAGGGGGCGGGGCGGTCGCCGTCTGCCGGTGTAGTGCGCGCGCGGGGCGGTGAAGTGGTCTAAAGCTCCTCCGCCTACGCGCTGCTGCGCCTGCCGAACGAAAACAAAACATTATTATCCAGTCGAACGTCGGCCGTGTCTCACGCGCTCGCATCCACACGACAACATTCGCCGGAGTCCCGAACGGCCGGGCACGCCATGTAAAAACGTTTTTTCGAGAAGCGCCCCGTTTTCTAACAATGTACCAGGTAAGCGGTATATCTGTACCGATAACGGTCTAATATTAATAACGACAATAATGATACACAACGCGTCCGCCTACCGCCGCGACCTATTGTAGTGACGGCGTGTTACCAGGTGTAGTATTGTTTTCACCGATAGCCGCGAATATAAAACCACGACACCCACGGGCGCTCGCTCGCCCCGATCGCCGTGACCGGTCGATAATCGTATCGCGATATACGCGCCGCGCGCCATGGTATTCGCGATATTATCGCGTGCACGTGCGATTATGACAATGTCTCTGTTGCGGGACCCCGGGGTCGAACGGCCGCATTGCCGTGTCCGCACTGTATTCGTGAAATGTTATTGCGGTTTGCGCGCGCACGCTACCGCGCCGTGTTACGCGTGACGATCTTTTTTCGCCGCCATATGGTAGCGCCGTCACCGCGGCGTTCCTGCACCGGCACCCGCGATTATTGATTATCGCCCGCGCGGATTTTCCCGAAAAACCGAGCGCGATAGTATTGATATACCAATGTCACCGTCACCGGTTCTCGGCCGCGACCCGACGTACGCCGTTCCCTCCCTATAATAATACACCCTCCATTACGAATACGGCCTCTTCGCGTTTACGCTTACATCACCGGAGAAAAACAAAAAACCAACACGATTATTGTTTCGACGGTCGGGCCGTCCATTCATATGTCGGACGTGTTGGTGCACTCCCGTAGTAAACAATCGTCCGAAAATGATAAGGATCGCGAACCCGAAAAGCGCCGACGAATTTGTTGCCAACATAAAACGGTCGCGACGTTTTATGAAAACATAGTTTCGTGTTTATTTGTACAGGTACACGCTGTTGTAGCGTTGTTAGCTACGGTCTATAATTATTGTGCAATTTCAATACACTAACTGACGTGATTGTGTGTTATAAATCGAGGGTTATTTTAAAGGTTTCAATTTGGTTTTTTCGTTTGTAGACCGTTATCATTTATTTTGTGGGATCTTTATCATTTTCGGACGTTTATCCTAATCCAATTCACTTTTGTGTCGTTATACCTAACGGTTTTTTTGTTTTGATATTTTTTACGGATGGGGAACAAAGTCTGCAGCTTGTAATATTACTAATTATAGTAATTGTAAAAAAATAAAAAAATGTCTTTATTTAGCTATCACGATAACTATTATGTGAAAAAACAAATTTGTTTTTCTTAAAGGACAACTGACCCTCAAAGACCTGAATACTTGCAACGTATCGGGTGTTCTCGGATTGAATTACCAATACCCTTTCCTTTCCCTCAGCCTTGAAACAATTCCAATCCTCGCCCTCTGGTGGTAATTTGTGTACGACCAACTGTTGATGACGTTCAACAATTGTAGAGGCATTATGTTACATGTCTAATTGAAATACTTAAAAAAGAAAAAATCATTCAGAATAAGCTCTACTGAAGAATGATACCTGTACGTTTACAAACAAAAATCATATCTGCGTTAAATTTAATATTATTTAACCTAATATTAATTCAATATTATGCGTTGACGATAAATTAAAGATTTTTAATATAATGTGAACTGTAGGTAATTAATTGGAACTAAGTCCAATAAATGAACGATTTCAATAAAATTGTATCGACGTACAATTTAGTATGTTAATAATTTGTAAATTCTAAAGTTAATAATTTGTATCTGAAGAAAATGTAGATTATCTATCGATAAATTAGTTTTGATCAAGATATAAATACAATATCTTAGCTTACTGAAAAACATTTAGTATTTTTTTTAAATTAAATAATGTATTGGACATTCCCTGAAAATTCACCAGAAGTATCAGCTACCTATTTTTAAATTTATTTTTTGTGAATCCCAACTATCTATAATAATTTTTCTTCAACTGCAATAACTTAATAAGTATAAAGAAAATAATAATTTTAAATACACATTTAAAATATTTTGTTTTCTTTTGTAATGTTGTTCGCCTCTTTGTTAGTTTTTAGAACAAGTTTTGTTTTGTTTAAAGTGATATATTACAAATAACGGGGAGGGGAGAATTATGTCTGAATTAAAAACCAAAGGCTATTTTCGAATAAACGAATTTGATCATTTAGTAGATCATTTAGTTAATTCACTCTATTGTCGCTCATAACACAATCATCATTGTTAAAATACCATTGAATAATATACTTTATAATATTCCCTATGAAAACGATGTGATAACAATATTCATATTATTGTGTATTTAATATATTGTTGTGCTGTCATTTTGTTTAATATAATAATTAATAATGATATTATATAGCAATGGAACATTAGGCCTTTTATAATGTTCTAACGACTATATAATATATATGGTTTATTTTCATACTTGAATATTCATTCAACAATTAAAACCATACAATTGTAGAGCATTCGACTAAAGTTAAAGGGAAAAACTGTTAGTACGAAATGTTTATTTCTGCAGATGGAATCATTTAAAAGGTTTTTGAACTCTCTAGTGCAAAGTTTAATGACGCCCATAGTGTAACAAATAGCAACAAGATTTGTTTTAAAACATAATTATAATTTATATCATTATGAATATTGCAAGCAATTCTCTAATGTAATAATAATCAAATTAATTTAGAAAGTTTAATGAATATGTTATTTTACCTGCAATCAAAGTAGTTAGACCTTCTTCAGGATTTAATTACGAATACGTGATTAGTAAGTTTTAAATGTATATATAAATTTAAAACTTTATACTCAACTCTTTCTATTACTGTTATTTACAATCAAATAATATGTATTTATTTTTTAACACCTTCAACAACCGTCAACTTTGTAGTACAACCAAGTTTTGTATTAAATCTTCTCATCTAGTAATATATTACCTTCATTCAAAAGTAAAAAATTTGTTTTTATTAGCCTTGAAAATTAACATATTATACTCGTATTCATTTTCTCGATTAAATAATTTGTTTACATTATGCTTGAACTTTCGAGAAATGTGTCGTTATTTTGAACGACTCTAAGCTATATTTCTGCATCCCTACAAATTTGGTTATCTGGTGTTTTTTTCAGGTGTATGAGAATGCATACTCGAAAATGTATTATACGATGTTTTATTTGGAGCGGTAAACGACTATACGGTTTTATTGAAATCAATTTACGGAAGTCTTCCTTTTTCCTTGCTTTTGGCATCTATTATATACGTTATCATAAAATATTATGGTTTAAAATGTTCACGACATTACCTCTATCACCTCCATTACCTTTGCAGTAATCTATGAAAGAGCGTGTAACTTGGATATTTCATGACGTAGATAATATCTAAAATATCTAAAATATATCTATTAGATATATTTTAGACTACCACGTTATTGACCCTTTTATAAATTATTACTTACCTATACCAGGTTATCCATTCAAGAAGGTACACTCATTATCTCGGAAAGTATTAACTTTTTCAGAATTTGTTTTTTAGAAAATTTAAGAAACAAGCGGCTCTATAATTTTACATTTATTTTATTCTTTGTCACCGATATTTTTGGGAGTAAAACCACTACCTACTTTTGATATAAGGTGGCAACCTACTTTAAAAAGTCCATAAATACATGGAGTATTAATTAAAATAAATTTTAGTGTTGAAATTTTTGATTTCTATCAATACGTTTACGAAATATTCTACTTTTAAGTTTGGGTTGGAGGAGAGGAGTGGTGCATTATTAACACACCGCGTGCCGTACCGCTCCACAAATGATACTCCACTACTCTCCTCTAACCTAAACTTAAAAGTAGAATATCTCATCAACTGCTTGACAGAAATCAAAAACTTCAACACTTATATTTATTTTCCATCTATTTATGGAATTTTTAATATAGGTTTCAATTTGAAAATCCAAAGTAAATATTGGTTCTCCTCCTAAAAATAAGGCTGACAAAAATAACATAAATATAAAATTGCAGAGCCGCTTATTTCTTAAATTTTCTAGAAAACAAATTCTGGAAAAATGTAATACTTTCCGAGATAATTATTGTATCCAATTAAATGGATCACCGGTATATTGACGTGCGTTTATGTAATACATATACACATTTCCTTTTTATGACGCCATAATCGCATTTACTGTCTCAGTCTGACAGTCTAACTAACGGTATAAATAGCAAAATTACGTTACGTAGAATATAAATTATTGCGTTAATGTTGAAATTAGAATTTAAACACAATTACCTAAGAAATATAAATAAGAGAATATTTCAACAGGCATCTGTTAAGTTGTTATTTTTTCTAAAATATTGTCTAAGAAAAATATTAGGCGTGTTAATTTTTTACTTTTATTTTAAAAAATTGCTGCTAATTTTTTGATTTACAATTAATATTTCAGAAAAAGAGCAGCTTGAAAAAATGATTTTCTTTAAATTTAGTTATTTATGTTTAAATTCTAATTTGAACCTAAACACCACGATATATATCATGCGAACGTAATTTGTTTATATTGTCCATAGTTAAACTGAGACAATAAATGCCACGCCCGCATTTATTGTCTCAGTTTATTGTCATCTTAAAATCTTACATTTTTCTATGACAGTACTTTGAGTAACAGGGTCTCAGGGTATATACAATATTTATATAACCGTCACGGTCGATTTCAAAATAAAATTTAGTTATACAACTTATAGGTATGGTTGTATGAATAACTATTTACTTTGACGAAACTGTAAAGCTTATTTTAATTTCTTTCAATTTATTATACTAAATAATTCGTATCTAAATAATAAATTCAATAAAAATACGATAGAATACAGTTCGATATACTTCTGATATGTTACTGCTCATTTTATTTCGTCTTTTTTGCTAGTATTTCTCTCGATAATGTGTTATATCGTTTAGGACAGAGGTTCCTAAACTGTGAGGCGTGAACACTTTACAGGAGAGACACGAAGTAAACATACTACTCATTCAAGTTATCTTTAAACCATTACACTTTAAATATTTTAAAAATTGGAACCACACAAGAAAAGATGAGTATTTCACAAAATGATCAACTAATCTACACGTATATTAAAATCACTTAATGTTTACAATTTTCGTCAAAATTTGATATTAATAGTCATATAGAAAAATGACTACATTATTCTTATTTTTTTTTTGACCACAAAGTATAATTTATAATGAACCTCCCATTATATTTTCAAGCATTTTTGTTTGGTCTAACAATTGTATCCACAGAATATCTACTGTATAAAAATAACGTAAAAAACTTGCAAAATTAAAATGTCTATTAATAGTTCAAAACGAGCTAAAATATTTTGAAAATTTGACTTTGTCTATAACAGGCATATACTAGTTTTCTGTCGAAATTTATTGTCTCGAATATGTAACGAATATTTTTAACTGAATCACAACAAAAATTAGAATTAAAAATAATACATTTTGTAAATTTTCCCGTTTTTCATACTTGTTTACAGTTTTTTCCAATTATTATGAAAACCGCTTGGGAAATCAAAACATAAAATCCTTTTTGTACCACGGTACCCAAATAAAATTGGAAAGGTGGTTTATCTCCGGTTTAACTGGTGGTGAAGGATTACACTGCTAAGGCTACTATCTCTAGCCTCCCTGATTCTCTTATTCTGTTTCTTGTGACAAAGGATGTTTTGCATCGTTGACAAGATCGGTGTACCATAAATTGAAATGAATAATAGCTAGTTATACCTGTCACGATCTTGGTTCCGATGAGGACATTACTGGGGGTGATGTACCTGCCCCCAAGGACGCTTTGACTGCCTGTCCGTAGGGTTCCCAGTGAAGGCAGTCAAAGAGTGTGCGCTCCACTGTCTTCAGGGCACTGGTAGTATAAGCAGTCTGCATTTGAGTGGGTGTGCCCCATGCAACACACGTAGTTCCTAAAACATTCGTCACCCGATAGAGCCTAGGTTATGTGAAAGGTGAGTTTTTTTCGGACATCTCATTACCAATCTCTTTAGGTCCGGCAACATTCTGCGCGTCTAGGTGGCGTTGCTAGCGCGGTCCTACCTTTTAGCCAAATTGTCTGCCAAGCCGATAATCTGGACGTCCACCAGAATGTCAAGATATATAAGGTTATCGTAGAAGATGTTTCACAATGTCAGTCTAGGGATACACCCCCAACACTCCCGGTTACAGATCTAACAGAGCTGGAACGATCAGACAAGCGTACCGTGAGGGTGAAATTCTTTATGTAGAAGTGAAGAATCTTGACCAGATATTCGGGGAGAGTCAACATGGTTCCATGGAGCCATATTATAGGTATATCATAATAATGACATGCTATATTCACAAAAACGATTTTCAAAGACATTTTAGTTTTCAGTAATTTGTGTATAAATTTACTTGTTCACATAATTATTAATAATAAATGATTATGTTTTATTATTTTTACTAGTCTGCAATAGTCAACTAAAGTTTAAACAATACTATATAATAAATATATGTAAAATCTCTGCACCAAAAGACAGCCAGTAAGTAGTTTGAAGACATTTTATAAATTTTGGGGACTGAAGGGCTCCCAGACACTAAAATGTCTGGTGGCCCCTACCACAGCCTAGCAATCATGACCAGGCTGACATTGCTCGATACTAAATTTTTACTTATATATGTATTTTTTTTTAATCAAAAATAATGTGACTGCCTAAGTATACGATTATATTTCACGTTGAAAAATTGTATAAATCAAAGTAGTATTAACATTTGTTATAAGCTTACCATTCAGTGACAAACGTGGTATATCAATATTTTTTTGTGCATCACTGTGATCAGTGGATTTTCCGTGTACATACAGTTGTTACTTTATATTGTTTATTATATTGAGCAATGAACTTATACTGTGTAATAGTCATTGTATACCTGTATACAACATAACGTGGATAAAATAGGTAGGTATTATGCTTGGTATTATAAATAATTATAATGCACATTGTTTGTATACGCATTTATATGGAGTAAGACGGTATTATGCATTTATATCGATTATGATAATGTATAATGTACTATATTATTGGTATATGTAACTTAAAGCTAGTAAAATAAATTTGTAATAACTTTATGACATAAAAGAAAAAAAAACCGTAAAACATGTGTATCTATCCAAAATAAATTGATGGTATACATTTATTATCAAGATAATTGACATTTTTATTTAAAATAAATGTTTAGATAATTTGAAAATATTTAATTAATATTTTATTTAGGTTTCATCAACGAAGATCAGAGTACTAAAATATGTATTACGAGTAAATTTTTAAAAATTGTAACAATTTCGGGGATCGAATACACAACTTACATTTTAGATTCTGAATGGAACAAAGAAGCTTATTTTTTACAAAGATTTTTATTTTTTTTTTATTTGTGAACAACTTCTCTATCAAAAATCTTGCTCTGATTTTTAAGTGTAGTACTTTTTATGAAAGAAAATCGAACTAGGGAAGTACTTTAAACAGGTTATTTTTCGATTTTCTCAAGAGTTTTCTCAACAAGTGTGTAAAACCGAAAAAAAAAGGGAAAAACGTAGATAACGGGAAAATTGGTACATGAAATAAATATTATTAAAGAAAATATATTATGCCTATTTAATTATTTTATCATATAGATTGTTGACAAAGCATCACTATCAACTGAACTGCGATCAAAATCGTTTTTTCGTTAGCAATGGTTTCTCGTTGCTTACAGGTATACATAAAATTAATTATAACAGTGGTTACACCCGACCCCTTTATCCTAGGACAGCTTTTTATTTGTATTTTTTGTTATTTTTTTACGCATGTATATTATAGTTATATGTCATTGATTTATGGATTATAAATTATAACAGAATTATTCCCTTAACTAATAATAACTACAATATTGCATTATTCTTATTAACTTAATATATGTACGACTTACCTAACTATAGTATGTGCATATTTTCAAGCAGTAATTATACATTTGGTAAAAAAAAAAACTTATTCGTGTGGCTATGTCTACCTAGAAAATGTCAGCTGTAAGTTTTGAATATACGCCCGCATGTACATTATATACACAAAAATAATACAAAAACAAATATTAGTTACCTAATCTAAATATTACTTTATTTAATTAATATTGCATTATTATAAAAATATTGTAAATTGTAAACAGTTTTGATAATTTGTTTAGTCTTTTACAACTTAAAAAATGTAGAATGAAATAGGTATTCGAATTCCTAATGTATGTAAATATTATACTCGTATATTATAGGTACAAAAATGTTCAACACGTTTATCGAAAGCATAAAAATCTTATACTTACAAACTTTTAAACCAAATTTTTTTTTTAAATTGTGTGCACAAACAAGTATATGTGTATATTATGTTAGGTACATAATTTCATAATTTTAATTCCGTATTTTTCTATTACAAATAAATATGTACATACGTACTATAGTTATTTCATATGATTAATATGCAAATGTTTGATATTTCAGTGTATAATACTACACCATAGGTTTAAAATCCACGCAATAAAAATAGCGTTGGTAATTGTTAATTAATAACGTTAGTAATATTAGTATAGACATTGTATAATAATTGGATTGTCTGTTTATAATAAATGTAAGTTTGACACTTCCAAAGTAAAATTGTGATTTTAATTATAAGGGTTTATTTTTTTCTTCTGAAAATGTTCACGATGTTAGAAACTAAAAGCTTTCCAGAGGATTACTGCAGCTTAAGCGAATCATGGATTTCGGCAATTAAGTTGAACAAATAGGTTTCAATTGTGCGATGGAATCTAAGTAATTATTTTTAAACTAGATTTACACGATGCTGCAGTATTTGTTATTAGGATAAAGGGCTTTGAACTAATTACGTAGCTTCTTTGTTGTTTTGTTATAATAAATTTCAGTTGAACCTCAATAAAGTATATACATATATATGCCTTAATATGCATATACAATAATTAATTTCTATAATATAAAATAATTGTTTTAAGTTTGAAACCAATACATAACAACATTTTCCTAATTCAGTTCTTATATTAAACATTTTACTATAGGTATAATAAAACTATAAAATTAAAATACCAAAAATAATGTACCTATTATATTCGTTTATTCGTGTTGTCTATTGGTGTCCGATAACTGCCGTGGTTAAACTAGGTCATCGAATTTTTGTTATCATATTGTGGTCGTCATTTTTTAAATATCATTTTTCAACAAGTGTGTTCCAATCTGTTATCTTCACGTAGCTTGATTATTATGTATGTAGAATCCTCAATCCTGATGCTTATAGTGTATGTATTAAAAAATGATCAATTTTTAACCGTACCTTCCTATATCTTTTAGAATATATACTCGCACCTGTACAAACAATAATCATGCATGCGTAGCGAACCACATGTTGTCATCAGCCTGATAACAATAAACTAACGGCAAGAATATTTTATAATATAAAATGTATTTTCTTATAAACAAACATTGTTAAGGTGCTTGTATATTAGTTTTAAATTCAGTATTTTAATTTTTTTTTTTTACATTAACTTTTAATGTTTATTTAATTTCATATACTTCCGTTGGAAACAAAATATCATTAAAATATTTTAATAAATACAACTGTATTATGTCCAGCGTAGAATAGTACCATACTTTATCTGAATAGAGCGACGGCACAAGCAATGCGTTTATTACGATTGTGAGTTTTAGATTCTGAATGTATTGGTTTTATAATACGTGTTTTTATTATTATTTATTTTATTTGTAAACAATATTTTTTACCCGAAATTTTGCTCTGACAGCATTTAAAAACAAATTTTTGTCCATTATGTTTTGATTTTATTTGTAATTTTTATATTGATTGAGAAAAATCGTACGAAAACGGAAAAACGTACAAAATATTGGTTTCCGTTACTTTCAATATTGGATTTAATATAATTCAATTAACAATGTTCATATAATGCTCTTGTATATTAGCGCTTCATAGATATGATATATATATAAAAATATATAAAATGATTCTGATAATTTTTGAGTTAATTTTAGCCATTTGAAAATTCCAAGTTTTTTTTTAGTTTTTATTTGGTTTTATATGGATGAAATTGTTTTAGCCTAACAAAATTGTTCGCTAATTTAGCATGAGAACGAAGTTTTTCATAAGCTATACTGAGTAGTTTAAATAGGTTTAGTGTTATATAGTAACTTTTTATAAGTATTTAAAGTTTAAATTTTAATGAAAATCGTAAACATTTTGAAGTATCAAAACATATTGAAAAAAAATACGTTCAGAACTGTTTTTTTAAAAAATTTTGTTTGAAAATACTTATGAAGTTAAATAGTAAAAATTAAAATATCTCCAAGTCGTAAGAAATTTAACATAGGGTTATTTTTTCAATTTAAAACACGTTAGTTAAAACCCTTTTGGAAACTACGGAAAATATCACTTAAACTATAGGTATTAACTTACGGTAGGGGTCTATGTTATAATAAATAAATATAGTAAATAATGATCACTGTAGATAATGATATTCGTTATAATGTGTAATTTTGGAAAATTTTGAAAAATAACTACCAACATAAATTTATAATTATCTATCTGAATTTTCGTATTTTGCTCTTGATATATTTTTTGGATTTTGCGCTTGTACGTTTATATTCAAAGTGATAAATTGTTTAAAAATGTTTATGAAATTTAATAATGTGTACTTATAGCCCCTTATGGAAAACGGTACATAATTTTAATTTTAACGTTATCATTTGTTATATCATTATTATAATTGTTTTTTTAAAATTAGTTTTTGTAAATAGTATCCTATTATAAAAAACGGAAATTTATCACTGTTTTCTAAAAGTATATTTTATTAAATTACTGCAATGATCGTCCATTTATATAGTCACAATCACAATATCATAATGATATTTAGATAAAAATTGTAGGTACTGTAAATATATTCCATAGTATAAAAAATAGTTTGAACATAAACTTTGAAGCTTAAATCCTCGTCGAATACGTTCTACACATGTATACACGTATAAACGCGTCCGTATTTATAGGTAGTTTTTATAAAATAACCATTAAATAAATGTTATATAATATTTCATTTCATACGTATTTAAGAATGTTCACTATCATTGTCATATAATGCATTTTTATGGTTCTAGTTTTGACTGTATATAGTTTCTAAACTGTAGAACCCCGAATAAGATCGCATATACATCTTAACTTACTCTCGTTATTGTTCTATTGTTTTCTTTCCATTAGTTTTATTTACCAAAAAAAAAAACGTTTGAACGTAATGTTATTTTTGTTAAAAATATAAAATAATAATAATAGGAGGATTTTAGTTGTTTAATCTCTCTGGAGATTCTTTAATTAATTTTATATTATGTTATTTTATACTGTAGTTCGTAATTAATAATTCTCGTTGAAAATATAATATTTAAGATTAGTTTAATCATTATATATATGATCTATGTTTAAATATTACTGTTTATCAAAAATAAATATCCTATTGCTTAACCTTACCAACATAATAAATCGATACAAACCAAAGTAGCGTAAGCTCCTAATGAATTAAACAATTTCTGCTGTATTTACATTGTATATATAAACTGTTAATATACATATATTATATCTTAGCCACTATCCTATATTTTGTATAAATAAATTATTAATTATACATGATTATTGGTTATAGTATGATTAAATATCCTTCCTGTACTTTTTTGTTTCACCGACCGGTTTAAAAATCAATAGAGTTTGTTTTTGTAGCCAAACAAATCGTCTAGTAAAAACGAAATTTTAAAATTCGAAATTGTTTGTAAAAGAGATCACATACGAACAGACGAAAAGACAGACACAGACAAAATAATTAAGTTACTTAATAATATAGGTAGTTTATTACGTGTATATTTCGAGTCCCCCCTCCCTCATTTGAAATTGTATTTTTTTTTCATTCTAATATTTAGTATCTATTTGTATAACCAATATAGAATAATTTGTATTCTATTTTTTACTGCAGTAAATTCACTTTTTTTTTATCAGAGGTGAAACCTCTTTTATATATGTAAATATATGTAAAATTAAAACAAAACAATTAACAATATATTCTTAATACATAATTAAAAACAATATACTCATTGAAAAATAAATACCTTTAACGTTTCTTTTATGAATTAAAAATGTGTTATAATTTTAATTATTTGATCACGTTTCAACTCCGAAAAATTAATATAATATAAAAGGTCTTCGAGGATCTTTGACTAGGTGGTAAAATTCGAGAACACTCGAGTAAGTATATTTATTGTTTTGAGATATCCCTTTTGTCTTCTAGATTATACAAAAGCTAATAATCATAATATTTTTTATTTGACATCATATTTACTAAAATCACTCCTTCCGATATCACCGTGCTCATCCAAAAGAAATAATGTTGTTATACATAATTTCAAATATTATCATATTGATCACATGTATATATACAAATTATTTTGATACGCGTATTATTTTTTTTGTATTTTCTCGAAAATACAAACTATTTCACTGTATTGTGTCTGTTATATATATTTATATTTTTCAAGTACTTCTGGATACTTTTAACAGCTCCTTTTGGACTAAATAATTTAAAACTCAGGAACTAAATTTTTTTTGTAGGTGAATTAATATGATACAATATCAGTTGAATTTCGATATTAATTTCACTAAATGCTTTGTAAACCCTTTATTACTCCCCTAATGAAGCTAAGGAGATACAACTTTGTTTATGCGTAGTGTATGTATCAAGGATGTGCCTTTTGATGGTATGAACTTCTGTCCCCTTCCTAAACCAACTTTATGCTCAAATTATATGTTTTCACATGGAATACCCTTATAGACTTATACAGATAATGATGAACATATAAATAGTATTGTTGTTAAGGATGTACCTTTAGGAGGTTTCAACTTCAAACTTCGTCCCCACCATATATTCTAATACAACTAAAATCTCGGGAACTAATTTACTTATTTTGATGACATTTTTCTTTTTCTCTGAAAAAGGGGTGAGATAGTCATAGTGTATCATGAAATAGAGCAAGGGAGATGGTATACGTAAGAATGAAATGGCTGTTTAGTGGAGTAGTTCTCAAACAGTGATACGTGGTAGGCAGACCGTGAGGTGGTTGTATACCTACATAAATTTGCACTTTCTTATATTGTCCATTGAGTATACTATTTTATATTTTGTGTAAGTATTAAAAAATACTTTATAAATAATATTATACTATAGTATTTTTTTGTCATATTATTTTAAAATTAATGTACTGATATTTTGAATAGTCCAGTTTTTAGTCATAAGTGGTACTTAATAGATTTATAATACACATGGGTGGTACTCGAAAAACAGTTTGAGAACCTCTGATGTAGTGGTTTAAAATTAAAAATAAATTGTATTAATTATATAAACTTAATTAAATTAAATTTATAATATAATATTATTAACATCAGTGAGCAACTCTGGCAACTATTTTAGATCAAACAAGAATAATTCCCCTGGGAGAAAATTCGACTTTATAATGGTGGAGCTCTACTGCTTACGGGTGTTTCCTTTTTTCCGTAGATTTATAGGTTTAAGCACATGAGTATTGCCATGGATACATAAGTTGTTTATGTCTAAAATCTCAGTGATTCGTTTTCATCTTTTCAAAAGCACCGGAAATTTGTTTCCAGATGGTAATATATATAAATATATGTTGTGAACTTGTGACATATGTACGTATATAAACAACGAGATCAAATTAATATTTATTTTTATAGTGACGTATTATAAGAAAAAAGTAAGATTAATAGAGTCATTTGGGTTCTATACAAACGTATATATTTTATAGAAAATGTAAAAAATTAATTAATTTTCGTCTTCTATGATATTGAAATGGTTTTTCTATATTCTACATAATATACATAATATATTCACTTAAAAATTAAACAAATTGTTCAAAAAAGAAATGCAAAGTTTTTCAAGGTTTTGTAAATATTATCTAGTATAAATATAATATATAATATAAGTATAAATACAAAAAGTCAGATATACATTGCACCACGAGTAGGGCCACTGTTGTAATGTTTTCAGTTTTTCCCAATTATTATGAAAACTGCTTGGAAAATCAAAAAAAATTATATTTTTTATCCAGATAAAATTTCTTTCTAGAAAATATACTATACTTTGGCAAGATTTTTGGTAGAAAAGTTGTTTACAGATAAAAAAAAATTAAAAAAAAAAACATTATTGTTTCACTCAGAATCTAAAATAAGTAGGATTTATTTAATTTTCAATTTAATTATCTTTAGTATCTATATTACCTATATTATAATGTATGTTTATTACACGTACGCAAATAAAATACCATAAGATATATACGATACATGTATAAACATTTAATAATAATTAACCAAACTTGTTTCGTAAAGTAAGAATTTATATCAAATTTGTATTTTTATATTAAGCCATATGAGGACTTAATTATGTTTAATTCTACAGAAATTTTAAATTTCGATGGATTACGAAACTTAAACGTGTTCACCATTACTTCATTTAATTCAGTAAATTTATTGAATAATTGAGCTAAATCGGTATCGATTAAAGGGAAATATATTTTAACCTGTATACAAACATAATTTAGTATAATGTTGTCGTATAGTTTTGAACTGAGTAGTAACACTCTAATTATTGCATATGCATTTTTCGGTATTTAGTACCAAGTAATAATTTTTAAGTGTATCATTATTGATGATCATATTATCTCTATTATTTGTTGAAGAAATTTACAAGCATTTTGTATGTTAATTTCATTAGACTGCAGACATTTAGAAACTAAGTTGGACCAATTTTAAAATATTTTCAGGCACAATAAGAAAATAAATTCTTTATTTTCAAATTTGGGTTCTTTGACTAGAATTTTAATAGAACTTTACTAGAACCCTTTACTAGATTTGAAGCGTGGGGTCCTAGTTCAATGAACTGCCAGAATCGTGGTTTCTACGATACTGAGCATGTTACTAAAATTTGGATTAGATTGTAATTCTCCTATTGATTGGGTTTTCGTTATTGATAAAGTGTGTGTGGGTTTAGTTTTTCCGGATTATATTTTCGCCGGCGAAATCGTATACAATTATATAATATATAATTGTAATTTTTAATTAAATTCGACACACGTACGACGAGTAAATTATGGCAAGTGCGGAATTAGCTGTAAATATTACAACCTACGCTTGTTTTGCAAAATTGGATTTCCGAGCCGAAACGAAAACGTCGAATTCGATAAAACGATTACTCGGCGTAATAATATGTTGCCCTCCTATAATCGTATTTTATACGGGTATCTTATAAATATGTATAGATTCATGGTAGTAATAATTAGAGACCGAAATTATGAATATGTTCTAAAAAGGTGCTAGATATGATTGTTTAAACATGGCGTATACTGTGTATAAAATATACTAATTATATGCACTAAAAATAAAAAAACATGCCGTAATTCTTAAAATAATATGCGATACGCTTAATAAAGTTTTCAGATCTATGAAATAAGTTAGATTTGAAAGAGTTAAATTTCAAACCGTCGTGAGCGTACTCAAACAGTTTACAAATGCATATAATTCTCGTTTCTAGATTAATAATATTAATAAATAATAAAATAATAAAGTAAAAATAAAATTATTAAAATGGTTAATACTCGTAAATAAATATAGTAAATAAATATATAAATAAAAAATGTATACATAAAAAAAAAAAAATAAAAGAATGAATGCGTCACCTGGAGTATTATAAGTGTATTATACGACCGGTTTCGAATTAAAATTTCATTATCAGGTATATCACAGTTAAAATATATTAGGTTTGTTCGTTTAAAAAAAAAAGTGTACACGTCTTTTCACATAGATTTTACACTAGAGTTTATAAATTCAATACCTACCACATTTAATGATGTGACTGCTATGAGAAGTTAATTCCTTATTAAAAAAAAGTATACAGTTACTGTATACTTTGTTTTTAAACGAACCTATGTTCGTTTAAATATTATGGTAATAATATTGATAATAACAATAATAATAATAATAATAATAATAATAATAATAATTTAACTATTATGATATTTATCACGAATATAATCAGCGCGGACCAACGATTACCCGCATACGTTTACTGCCGGCGGACAGGTGTAGGAACAACAATTGTTGTTTATTAGAATATTAAAATATTATTATCGTTCGAGCTGAGTGTGTATAAAACGTAGGAATACTATTTTAAAGACCGACATATATTTTACCCTCGTATTTATTAATATGATTTACGAACTATATATTTCTTCGACGATATAATATATTATTGTACAGAATAGTACGGTGTGCCAGTAACTATTGATTCCGTGATATTTGATCAGAGAAGCACGGGGAGTATTGGAGAAATATTTGGAGGTCAATAATCACAAGTGACATTTTGCCTCCACGGTAAAATTATTTATCAAGCAAAATTTTACTAAGATTGTGTTAATTTTTGTGGTGACTCCAGCATAGATGTGTACAAGTCAGCTTCTATCGGCAGGAAACTCAGGAGAAGTAGTGATTTTTAAAATTAATTCTTATATATACATACAATTTATATTTAAAACATTTTGGAAATACTGAATAAAAAATATTCCGGTGGATATATTTAAATCTAATTTAAAAAATATAATTTTGGGTTGTTCATTATATTTTTCAAAAAATAATGAGATATATTGAGGTATCTAATTGCAAAGGTAGGTAATCAAAATAAAACAAATTGAAAATATAATAAAACTGCATATTTTTCAATAATTTAGAATTACCTATTTTTGTATGTATATAATTCTGATATTATTGAACGAATTAAATTATTAATTTATCTATATTAAGTATCCATATTATTAAACATATTCAAATTGTTTATTTTTGATTATCTGTGAAACAAATTTGGTGCAGTGTTTCCATATCGTTTGATTAATTAAAATGAATTTGTTCGCCTATTTGAATAAAATCATCATAAAAGTTATCAAATTTTCAGTTTACCCTCTTCGTTATATTGAAATAGCTCATAAAATATTACGAAAAATCAAAACTACGAATATTAGCTATTCTGAATTATTTTATGGCGGGCGTATAAGTTTTAAATGCTATTTTTTTGAAACGTACCATTTTTACAATTTACGCAGTAGTCCTAAAACACAAAAGTAATTTCCGAAATTCAGATTAACAAAAAAAAAAAAAACACTAAAGAAAAAAAAATTGTATTTTATTTACAGCAGGGTCGTCCGTGTATTATATTTGTACAGTACGTGTACGGTCGACGATGGCAACGATGGAACTCGAATTTCCGGTGTGCAAAGTAAAATCGTGCCAGTATCAATAACAATTTGCGTTCGATTTTTTGTTCTCTTTTTTGTTTGTTTGTCACCCGATGTCGTGTCCTACGCGTGTATATATTATATAGCCTACACTGTATTTTGCGCACACGTTTATAAACACTGTTATATATTATGTATGCAAATGCAGACACGTCGGCATAGGGTTTAGTCGTCCCGTGTATATATCTAATCTGAGATGGAAATTTATTCGTCGGTCGATAATAATAATAATAATAATACCTACCTAGCGTACTTACCGTACCCGCGTTGTCGTTGACCGATTACCGGATTTAAACGCAGTCCGTACCCTTTTTAATATTCGTAATAATATTCGTCGGTGGCGGTGCCGGTCGCGGTGTAGATAGCGATCGCGGTAAAGTGGTACACATGTATTAAATATTAGGCCTAACACACTACCAGGGTGAAGCCTGCGGTTCTCACACGTCACTGGGATTAAATCTGCGGTTTTCACGCACCACCGTGGTAACAGGATTGGTATATTGGGTCCCGGGAAAAAAAGTTAGTAGGTAAATTGAGTCCTTGCAAAAAATAAATTGTATATATATATTGTATACACAAGTCAAATTTTATAATTGTGGCATAAATAGTATAAGTAATATTATACATAAATGAATAAATCGTAGAGTATAAAATTAAAAGAAAATTAGATTTCTATTTTTATAATTCAATTGAAGTAGGTATGCGTGTGTTTTATAATATGTTCTCGGTAAATATTTAAATGATTTTTATACACGGGACTCAATTTACCGCTTTCAAAATGTACATAAATTTTCGCTGACCCAATTTACCTACCCCCCGCAGTAAAACTGGTGGTTCTCACACCCCACCGTGATGGCGGTGGTGCTGGTAGTGCGGATGAAGATAGCGATGACTTCGGCGGCGGCGGAGTAGTCCACAGTTCCAACACACACTATCGCGGTAGCGTTGACGGTGGTTTTTATTCTTCTGAAAATCGAAACCATTATACGTCGATGTTTTTAAATTTATCACAACGCGGCGGTTTCATGGGACAATTTTTCGTCTATTTTACCGCGTGATCCACAAAGGTTTCGCCGCGATGTTAAGTGGGCCTATAATATTAAATACTTGTATACCATTTACCACCACCGCTGCCTTCAAACTTAAGAACATTATTTGTGTCGTGTCGTCGTTTTTTTTTTTTTTTTGTAATTTTAATTTTCAAGCAAAATGATAGTGAGTGAAATATAACGATTTAAAAATGTTTATACAGCGCTTAAAAATTTAAAAAAAACGATGACACGACACAGATAATGTTCTTAAGTTTGATAAAAGATAGGAACATTATCTGTGCCGTGTCGTCGTTTTAAGTTTAATCAAAAATAAATTCATTTTCTGATAATAAAACTAACAGTACAGAATTGTTTCGACTGAAAGAAAATTGACTATGTCACGTGGTTGTAATATAATGGAGACAGAACATATAACGTCCTTTTAATATTGCGTACGCTTCGTGCACAGAATCACCACTGCACTATCGTCGGTATAGTTGTAATATTATTACGAAAATTATAAACATTAATATTAACAACGTTTTTGATGTGGACAACCCATCTACGAAAATTGCAGTGAACCCCGTCTATCCCACGTCATCGTCTTGTCGTGCATTGAAAATTATTATTATCATGATTTATAGTGTATATTATAATTATAATTTATAGATGTACCGGAGAACGAGATATTTTATCGTTTTCATATAAGTAATGAAAATGTAAATATTTTTAATTATAAAAATGGTCAGTTAAAATTTATACAGTAAAGTAATAAATTAATAGTTCTTTATTATAATTTAAAATTTTGCCTGATTAATTGTTTTCATTTAATGTGTTGATCAGAATTACTTGTGGCCTGTGCAGTTTGTTTCTCGGGCACGAGACACTATACTGCAAATGAAAAATATTCCAAAATAAATCAAATAAAAACTAAAGAACTAGAAAATTTAAAACATTTTATACTTTAAAAATCGCCAAATTATTCTAAAATTGTATCGCGTCTAGAAATATTATAAGAATTTGGTGACAATTTCAAGTTTTTACAATTATTTCTAACCAGATTATAACAAAAAACAAAATCTAAAATAACAGAACAAGAATTTCATAAATTTAAAAATGACATTCCCAATGTAACCTAATCAAATAGATACAATTTTATACTAGAAACCACCCGTACAGTTTATCATTAGAGCGAGGTTCCTGGCAAAAAGTTTTTACAAACAGTAAAATAAAAAAAAAGACGGACATGCTTCGTACATGGGTGGACCACTGTTGAAGGTGAGAAATTGAGAAGGTAGTAGAGGGGAAATTAAGTGGATATCTGTACGTAACAATTAACCATTGCTAACGAAAAAATGATTCTGAGCGAAGTTTGGCTGATAGTGTTGCTTTGTCAACAGTATAATATATGTCATATTATTGTAAAATAATTGTATATGCATTAAACATTTTCTTTAATAATATTTGTTTAAAACTGTACCTATTTTCCCGTTTTTCTTCCTTTTTATCCCATGTATTGGGAAAACTCCTGGTAAAATCAAAAAATGACCTTCTTAAAGTACCTCCTCAGTCTGATTTCCTTTCAGAAAAAAAACTATTATTGTAAATCGGAACAAGATTTCTGGTAGAAAAGTTGTTAATAGATAAAAAAGATAAAAATCATTACAAAACCAATACATTCTTTACTTTACTAAGAATGTAGAAATTAAATCAAACTCCCAATTTACGGGTTTGTGCATAACATATGAATTATGTTTTAAATTCGTACAGTATTTCAAACCAAATATGTAGATAACATTATGATATAAAATTAATTAGAAATACAAATTCGAAGTTCGGTGCAGACAGTTTTATGCGATCTGAAAATATGGATCTGACGAGATGTAGTTGCGTTGCTGGAGCAGAACTACGTTGGCGTAAAAGGTCTTTACGACGTAGTCTTCAATATTATTTGGCGGTCCCAATGGAATTGACGTTATATGGTTTTTTTTATTTATACATTGTGATTTCGTAATGATTGATTTGAGTGTCGTGGATAACTGTATGGGAAGCCGTATTATATGTGAACCCGTGCACACAAGGCGTACTTGCAGACTGGAACGAGTAAATAGGTTTTACAAAATTCGTCCGATCGATCTTTCGCCGGCATATCGATCATAAATTATTATGGCCACAGAATATATTTGAATTACGTTGTCGTGGATAGAGTTAATTTTTTACTTACTGATATTGTATTTTGGTATGAAACGAAATGCCTATTATTCGAAAAATTTCACCGGCCAACATCGTCCCCGCACCGACGTGATTGCAGACTACCCAATATTTTATTAAACTGAATTTTCTTCTGTAAACTTTGATTTCAGCAAATTATACATCGGCCTCGACGCGAAGACGTTATCAATTATCAAAAATAACAGTTTTTTTTTAGCGTCTCAAGCATCTCAATTGCCCAAGAAAGATTTTTGAGAATCACTCTGTCGAGAATCCTGTAGCGAATACATACAGTCACTACCACCTTTTTTTGTATATCTCTCTTGAATAGTTAGCTCCGACTTTTAGTATCTATAATCACTTGTGTTCAATTTATTTTATATATTTATTTTAATTATTCAACCTTCTTTCTATCCTAATTTAAACATTAACATTTATTATCAGAGTGCAAGCAGTTTCTAAGTGTTAAGATTAACTTATATTATTTTGATTGAATTGTCTCGGCCGTCCTACAATTCCAGGACCACGATAGGACACCTACGATTGATAACCCTATCGTTCCAACACCATGGGCAGGTAAAACAATTATAATTTCTTTTATTGGTATCGTCATTATTCTCAGACTAATGACCCCGTATCCTTTCGAACAACAATAGGAAGGTAGTGATTCAAATACTAGATTTAATATAGGTCTCAAAGTAAAATACCCAGTTTATCTTATATCATATTATTATTATTTATCATCATATCATTATCCCCCCTATCCTACCCTCTATTTTTATTAATACAAAACTTACGCATGCAATTCACTTAAGACATTGCATATTGTCTGTTAAGTGAATTTCATGAAAATTGACGTTCTGTCAGATTTTGAAAAAGATTCAAGTGATGTTTAATTTTTAATTTTATTAATCCTGTATAGAGTTTCATTGTCTTTAAAATTTGAAACACACCGCGAACGAACTTAATACGATACGGAAATTATTATTTTTTTATCGAGCTACACAATGTAGGCACCTATTATTATTTGTATAATTGTATTAAACAAAAAGTTGAGCTTTGATTGACGGCGTTTAAAATATCATTTTTTAACGTGACTAAGTTTTTAGCTCATACATATAGAATTACTTCAAAGAAGGGTATGAATATAATACGTATTTTGATATCTACACTTGTTTTTAAATATGTTTTGGATTAGATCATTTCAGCGAATATTTATTTTTGTGTGGGATAAAGTACAATTATAATATTATCGTTAATAATTTGGAGAATATAAAGAATGGTTTATTTGAAAGAAGTTTATTTGCTTAATTTATTTATTGTTATTATTATTATTTCCTAACAAATTTTCTCTTGCAGGTGACATCTCTGACATATTTATAAATAATTCTATGTTAGTTTTCAATTATTTTCTTTTATCGACGGATACTACAAATATTTCAGGCACATCTAATTTATTATAGGAATTAGACTGTTATATCCGAAGAATAAGTCCATAGTGTATAAAAAGAACAACAAGATCGTCAGGGATCTTTTGTTAATTTAATAACGGACACAAAAAATTAAAAAATTGAACATTTACAATTTTAGAGATCCGTACAGACTATAATATCCATCTTCTTTTTCTCTTTCCTCGTCTTCAATTATTTGATTGGTACATCAAGATCCCTTTTATAACTCAATTCTTTTAACTTCTTGTAACTATCCTTATTCATGTCTGCCATGATTTGTTTCATGCACTCCATCCTTGGTCTTTTTCTAATATGAACTTTTACGCTACAACACATTTCATTAAATTATAGTGACCTAGTAGACGTCCCATATTATTTTTTATTCTAACTTTTATACAATGTCAAAGTTATTGATTTTCCTTTATTTCGTTCAATACTACTTCTTCGTTTGTTATTATTTCTATTTATTTAATCCAATTTCAAGTATTTTTTCACACATAACATCATATTTTAAAAGCTTCTAGTTTTATTTTCTCTTCTGTAGCGATTGTCTATGGAAATTCGCTGTATGACTGTAAAACCTGCTAGTTTTACAGCCATGCAGAGACATATTCCACATATACACTTTCAGGAATTTTTTAATTACAAATATGATCATGCTATAAGTGGTCAGCAGATGGTTTTTGTTTTGAATAGAGCTGTTTACTTGAGCTATTCTGTTAACTAAGTCTGCTTTACTTCAGCCGTCTTTTATTATTTTACTTCCTAAAAAATTGAAGTACCTATTGTACGTGTTCTATTTATGCATTACGGTTTTCATAATACTATGAATGTAATTTGCTTTACTGCTCACTTTAACTTTTGTTTTTTTTATTTAATCACATTTCATATCTGATCCATAATATTTCGTTTACATCGTTAGCTAGAATATTTTTCAGATCATCTTCCGTTTTCACAGGTGAAGATGCCATTTGCAATGTAAGTGCATTAATTATTTTTCACTTATTTTAAATCCTTGTTTTTCTCCTATTGATTTTTCATTGTTTCCTTAATTTTTAAATTAAATATTATTGTGGATGAAATACAACTTTGCCAAACACCCTTTTCAATTTTACCTACTTCTTTTCTATCTTTGCATACTACTATATTTTGACTGTATATAATTTATAAATACTTCTGTTGTCATGAAACATTATGTCAATACTCTTTGTAAAGTAGTTTACTCCACTTTACATTATTAAAAGCTTTCTCTAAGTCAACGAATGCAAATATGCAACTTTATTATAATATAACTTTATCCTTCTGATTTGTTTTTTTATTAGTGTTCTAAACATTGATATTGCTTACTTGATTCCTATATTTTCCTGTCCAGTCTCATCCCCACGAAAAAGTGTGCCTTCGTTGTTTACCCGCTGTTTATATATTTAATATACAGTATAAAATATAAATATACAATTTTATTGTACTATGTACATTTTAAAATTTTCCTGTGTAGGAAAATTGTTTTGTATTTACTATTTAATCATTATAAATAAATAATATTATCATCAAAGTTTAAATTATCGAACATTTTAAGATAGAATTTTTAGAGAAACACTTAGCGATACATAGTATTGTGTTATGCGGGAACTGCAAAACGATTCTTAACACTGCTGAAAAATGTATTTATATAAATAAATTGGTATCACCCGACTGCCACTGTGTACTACTATAATATCATATTTCATTCCTCGCGTTTATTAATTTTGTTTTGGGATTGTTGCACAGGGAATAAAACGGTATCTACCCTTCCCCCCCGTGGCGTTTTGACACCCCTGCTGTGAACTTGTTGTTTGTTGTTTGCAGCGAATAGTCGCAGATTAATTTTCCCATTATTTGTGTGAAAAAACTTAACCTTGTTGTACAAATCGTATTACGCCCGTAGTATAGCGCATTCCGTAGGTAGAAATGCTTTGATATAAGGACAATTACTGTTTGAGGATTTTCGAGTCATTACTAAGTTTTCGTGAAAATTTACAAAAAGTTTAAATATTGAATATTTTTTAATTTTAGATTCTGAGCGTAGTGAGGAATGTATCGATTTTACAATTTTATACTATTTTAGACTCTGAATGGAGCGAGGAATGTATTGGTTTTACAATGATGTTTATTTTTTTCTGTGAACAACTTTTCAACCAGAAATTCTGCTATAATAAAAAAATGATACATGATACAAATGATATTTGGTACATTGCTGAGGTAATTTTTTTTGACTTTTCAAGCAGGTTTCATAATAATTGGGACAACTCAAAAAAATGTATAGAAAAACAGACAAATATTTACGGCTTTATAGCGTTAGCAGTTTCATTATTTTAAATTTTTTAAATTTTTTTTTTCTAACAAAATGTTCGCATTGATTTCAAGAGTAACTTTTTTTCTTAAAGAAAGTTTTGTTTAGTTAGTGTATAAGATAGTTATTTTTTGATTTTCCATATAGTGCTCTTAATAATTGGTCAAAATCGATAAAACTTAGGAAAAACGGGAAATTTTTTGGAAATACCGATAAAATTATTCAAATTCTTTTTTTTTTTTTGTAATTCTATAAAAAAAAATCATATAAAGATGTTCATAAAATACTTCTAAAAAAAATCCGCACTCTAATCATTATAATATATATTGTGAATTCACCAGCTTTATGATGTAGGTTACGCCGTAAAGTATTATTAAAAAAAAAAAAATGACATGGCATTCGTTTTTATGAATACTAAATATATACATATAGTACGGTGTCGCTATGCATAATACAATTCTGTTTAGTGCTTTTTTTCTACTGTGTCAGACGTGTCAACGTTAGTGTAAGAGTAACTTTTCAATTTTTTTAAATGCAAACAAATGTCGGATAGTGTGTAGGTGCCTTTATATGTATATATATATATATATATATATTATGTATATAATTCCTGTTAATGCGAATAGGCTTCAATTGTTAATTGAAGTTAATCTAATAAAAGAGAAACGAAAAAATGAAAATAGTTTATACATATATTTAACAATGTTGGTAGGTATCTAAATAAAAACCTACGACAGCTTTTCTCGTTTATCGTAGAAAATCGTCTGGGATCCCAGTCACGTTGGAGTCAAATAAAATTACACGCACACGCCATCGGTCAAGGAGATGATGTCTAAACTGTTGTTAATGTAAAAAATAATTGAATGAATTTTCGTAACTCCCGCTTCGGTGAACTTAAACCGTCTAGAAATATAATAACATATTATATTATTTTGTTAAAAAGGATTAAAAAGGGCTTGTGGTGGGTAATACGATTTTTAAACAAATTATACTCATCGTATTGTATTTTTTTTTAATTTTTCAGTCATTTAGATGCTGAACAATAATTCAAACTGATCATGACTCGCCCTTTATTAAAAGCGGCGGTGTTTATCACCACATTCGTCATCTGTAGTATCAATTGCGACCGATACGTAGGTGAGTAGAATCATATTTTAATTTTTTTTTTCAAATTTGATACGTAAGACCGATTTTATTGATTTATTGATTAAATTTAATAAGTCATTTACCGATATTAATGAATCTATGTATATTATATAGGAAAAAATTCGTATAATTATTATCGTCATATTTTTTAAACTCTATATTTAACTTGATTGATTTACTATAGCATTATAAATTTAACCAGTGCCTAAATTATATGTCATTAAATAACTTTAGACTCAAAACTTTAGAATTCATGAATTACTTATTAAATTTTAGAAAGAAATGTACAATAAGTATTTTTAGATGTTTTATGATAAATTATTAATATTTGGTTTAAAACCGAAACGCGATTTTCATTGCCCGTTGGATTTGTTGTCAATTTTCTGCGACACAGTCAGAAAAAAAACTGTATAAAAATATTATATTATAATAAAAACATGCCCATAAACATAATTAATTATATATTAAAATATTATTCTAATAGTGTATAGTAGAAAGTCCACAATTTGAATGACGACTCTTTCGTGGTCTAATCAATGCTATGAAAGTTCTACTGTACCTATACACTTATTACGACGACCACCAACCTATCCTCGAATTTTTATGTGTTGTTGATTAGTATTATACTAAGTGATATTAGTTTAATGTATTACATAGTATATCACCGACAGGCTTTAACCAAAATTATTGATAAGTGGGTGGTCGTAGATCGTTACATTGTTGAACGATAAAATTGCAGTGAATTTGAAGTAACACTTTAATACCAATTTAATATTAATTTGTTCATAAGATGGGTGGTGGTGGTTATGCCATTGTTAGTACGTATAAAAAATTGATGGGTCTCACACAAAAACAAATGTTTCACACGCCACTGATCTCTGAACAATATTATTTAAATTCAAAAAATTTATGTTTACACATAAAATAATATTATAACTTTATAAACCGTTCAATGATCGGTTCATTTAATTTGGGCTATTTTTTTTAAACGCACGTTAAAAATTTAATGAAGTATTAAAATTATTATGCTTTTCTATTTTAAAACACTGACAATTTTTTGAATACACACCTGGAACTTTTTTCACGTTCACCTCTGATGGCTGATAATTTGGAATAGCTAAGATTTCAACAGATTTTTTTGTAATTATTGTGATTTTTTTTATAATTCACTTTTAATGCTTCCGTATAACTGACAATTAGGATGGACGTCGGCGTCGACGGTGAGAACAGGTAAAACAATTGTTTTAACGAATTCGCGGTAAACTATGTATTTAGTATTTTAATGGTTTTTTCCCCTGCAAAAGTTCACTGAAGTAAATAAAAGCATGTTAAACCTTCGTACACGTTTTTTTTTTTTTTTAATATTACTATTAATATTGTTTATTATTGTTAATTATATTGTAATATTATAAAATAGCGCCAAAATCTTAGCTATATTGAAGAAATCGTTACAAAATATTTCAATTTATATTTTATACTATATAACTGCAGCAGCTAATGGAAGTTCAATTATATTGTAATAAATTAATTTGAATTAAGAAATCGAAAAAAAAGCGAATATATTCACTTTCAAAGTAACGAACGCGACCGAAATTTAAATTTAACTCTAATTAATTTAATTATAAGTTAAAAATGAAAATTAAGTTCGTGAAAATTAAATTTGCGGTAATCAAAAGAGAACAAGTTTACGTCGAACGCGTTATCTGTGGCTAAGTACATTCTGAATTTAATTTAATTTTTTTTTAACTGTTTAATCATTTAAGTTTAATATATTATTCAAAATAAGAATATGGTTAGTTAAAAAGTAAATATAAATTCATTGTAATAGCTAAGTATAAACGTACGTAAAATAAACAAATGTATAAAACCAAAATAATAGGTATGAATGGCAAATACATATTTTTTTTGGTCGAATATTCATAAACGGAAAAAAAAAGTTTAATTTTATTACTGAGTATTTATTTAATTGAGTTTACGAGGATATAAATTAACTAAGTAATTAACTAGGAATCTAATTATATTTGAATATAAAGATGACGTGTCTATGGTGAAATATATGAGATTTTCGTTTTATTTTTATAATAACAACTAATATATCATTAACAGAATAACAGTGCATTTTTGTAGAAATATCACAGTTATAATATAATATGTAAACAAATAAAAAACTTTTTATTTGCTATTATTTACATTTAAACTGAACAATATCAATAGTTTATCTATCTGCACATTATTGGTCGGGACGTAGGTATACCATTTGGAATTAGTTATTAATTAATTCATTAAAACAAATATAGGAAATCTCTTAACTCATTATATCCACCATCTACATCATAATATTCATAAAATGTGTCGTAAAAAAGTACGATAAAAAAATATACTTAAATAGAATTCAATGCAGAAATGAACTCAATATTATCTTGTACGTATAGTAAAAGAAATATTTTATGGAAAATCTGGAACTAACCCGTGAATATATTAAATGCTTAAAAATACAATTGTAGAAAAATTGCTTCCATAAAGCGATGTGTAGAAATCGGTCTAATTGCATAATAATATATATTATCTATATTATATATATATCTATTGTAACTTGACCATAAATGGTTTTTGATCTGCTACAGGTAGATATAAAATTCTCGGATTTTCCCATTATTTTATATATGCAAAATATGAACATTTTTCAAAAAATGACTTTTTTTTAGTATTTCGACTAGAATAAAAATACTTTTAAAAAAAAGTTCTTACTAAGTTTTTCATCGGAACAAATCTTTAGGTAGAAAAGAATATCTTTATTGTTTGTAGGTCAAATAAAATCTTCGAGAAAAAAAAACCTCGACCGGAAAAGCAAACGTTTAATAATAAAATTTAAAAAAAAAACAAAAAAATAGAATAGTATACCTACCTAGAAAATATTATTAAAACGAGGATTTTTTTCCCCGCTACTGTCTCGAGATTTTCGGCTAAAAAATACAATACGTTATTTTGTTTGTATATATATATTTTATCCGTCATCAGTGTTTCATTTTCATACAAATTAAATTTAATACCTACTCTGTCTAACTACAGGTAGGTACACCCACTCGGTGTTTAATATAAACGAAACAAAATGGCCCTTGCTCGGGCCGTTCATCTTTCGCGCAGACGGTAAATCGGATTACACTTGGGCACTCGTACAACAGCATCAAAAATTCAAGCCCAATACGGGGTACCTATACGGGGTTATGAATTGTTCATTAATAAAGTATAATTCCATTACAAACAACTACAACGACGACGAAAGCAACATCAACAATAATACCAAATTATTATCCGAAGGCAGCGTACGGGTAGCTGACAGAACTTCTAGTGCAGAAGTGTGCTTGAGGACGTTTATATAATAATATTATACGATTATTGTTTTTTATAAGTCATCGCTTTTATGTGAAATTCCGGTGACTTCGCACATAAAAAAACAGTTGAAAATCCTGTCGGAGTTTACCGGGATATCGCGGTGTTTCGTACGAATATAACCTTGCCAAAGGCGTGGATATATATTATTAATGACTTTTTTGGGAAAGGGGGGAGTCTCACTAATGACTATTATATGTTTGGGAAAGAAGTGAATTAGGTATTGAAAAATTAATTGAATTTCCAGTAGTCACTTCGAAATGGGAGGGGGGTGTTAACTCCCTACCTTGCTTCCAGAATTCAACTAAATGATGGATCTGTTAAAAGGAGTTGTTCGATATCAAAATATTCAGATTGAGTTGGGTACATTAGTTGGAACATTAAATTATATGCAAAATTTATCTTACTTTATCAAATATAATATAGGCGCCTTTTCTTTGGCATGCATTTAAATCGTGTTAAATAAAAATCAATAAGAATAACATATCAATCAGAAAAATCGGTAAAATGTATCACTGGATCCGATGAAAATTTATTTGAAAACTCTGAATTTCAGGACAAGATCTAATAATAAAATATGTTTAAACTGTTGAGTTTTATACCTAATGAACATTACTGTTTTGATTAACCATCGCTGAATTTCGGAAGATAATATAGACAGGTAATGTATAGATAATTTCGTATTTTACCGTTGCGGTCTTTGATATATCTGACTATCTATTCAACTGAATCAAGGCTGCATTTCGAGTTTTCGAAACTATTTCAAAAATAAAAAAAATTATTTTTTAAAATTCATTTTCTTTTACGTCCCGGTTTTCCCACTATCTGATGGCCCCCCACGTGCTGCTATTTACAAATTGCATGGTAGGATTTATACACCTTACATGGGACGTGATATGGTCAAAGATACCTACATTTTTTACCAAGTCGCTTAACCTTTTCTAACGTGTTCCGCTAGAACATCACGGTAATTCCCACATCTGTGGTAGCCAAATAACGGCAAAAACGGGCGAATAAAGTTGTTTCCTGACACATACGACGTCATTTAAAGTATTGTATTATTATACACAAGCACGTCCGAACGACGACGGGCTGCAAAGTTCGGCGTGACAATTGTATTCCGACGCAGTAGCGGAGTGTCGACCGGGCGGAGCCGCGAGTGTTACGCGCGCACATAAAACCTCCCTCGATCAATATACCGCCGCCTGCGAGCCAGCATCACCGCCGCCACCCTTCACTGACCCGCGCCACCCTATAGACCGCCGTCGACCATAATATCGGTAAGGGCCGAAAACGTGTCCAAACCGTGGTACACGCGGTAACAATATATATATATATATGTGTGTGTATGCGAGTATATACCTATAATATAGGACGTTCACTGAACACCGTTAGTAATATAAAGAAGAAAAATCGGATACTCTTGTTAGTTGAAAAAAATAATTTTATTTATATATTTTCTACGTTCGCAGTGACAGGTAGGTATGGTCTGAATCGATTTTTATTTTCAACTGGTGTGTGCGGCGGCGATCCGTTTGAAGTTTTTTCTTTCCTTTAATCAAAAGCGATCAAACAGGCGTTACACGTGTTAAATTCAGAATTTTCGTTATCCACACTTCTGCATGTTACTGAAGTGTAATATAAAAACGACCTAAAAAAAAAAAAAAAAAAATCTGTTGTGGGAAAGTCTTGATTCAGTGAATATTGAGATATACTGTATTATAATAAAAATGTTGTTTTTATTTTTCTCTTAGATATCGATTATAAGTTTACGCGAAAAACAAATTCGTGGTAGGATTTCAAAATAAAAATAAAATAACGATTTTTTATAATCATAACAGTAAAATATCTAATATTTCAGTTTGAATAATTTTTCGAAGAGAAAAATTATTTTTTATATACGTTTTGTATTTGAATACAGATGATTTTTATTCGTTTTGGTTGTATGTCTATTTTACATACTTTGCATCAAAAAGCCATTTATTTCGCATTATTATTATAATCGTAAAGCTAACGATCTTCCACAAAATTTTACTCTTGAAAAGATGACGAGATTTACCCTCTCCTCTCACAAGAATTATGTCGTCTACACGATAAAAAATGTCTTCGGAAATTATACGAAATTGAATGTTGGAAGAAAAATCAAATTTACATAACATAATGTATACAGTTTACAGACGAATGGCAATATTATTATTCGCGTGCTACGTATCATCAAAATGTCGGTATTATTCGAGGAAGTCAATTTGTACCGTTTCAAATTTATTGAACAACACCGTAAAAAAAAAAAAAAAAACAACTATACAAATATAATACCACTAACTGCACAGTTATACGAAGGATGTTGTGTTTTTAATAGAAAAATTAAAAAAAAAAAATTATAGGTTAGATTATATTATTTATACTTAAACTCGTAAAAACAAACTCGTCCGGCACGTACAAATTGCAGCATTACTATGTTTCAATGGCTTATTATAACTTTAGTTATGACGGCATTAGAACGTATCCTGGTTGTAAAATGCGCTAAATTACTTTACTCTCCTGAAAATATTGAAATTTTTTTGAAAAAAAAAAAATCTGTCGACAGTGGTTTCTGTTTCCAACTTTCTTGACTGGGTATATACTCAATTCTAATGATGATAATAAATGGACATTTTTGAATAGTTTATACTATTGATATTTTGGATGAACTATCAAGTGTTTAATTTTAATCCATCGTATATAATTCAATAGTAACTATTCGAAACTACATTTAGCTGAATAATTAGGAACTGATAAATTCACTGCCAGTGGTGGCTATGACACATACGTATCACAAATTTGCCATCATACCTATATATTTAGACATGGATGTTCCCGGGTAGATAATAATAATAATTACCACATTGGTTCAGGGCTGTATTTCTATTATAGATTATCCTTGTATACACTGGCAAATTATTTGGCGTTCCTAACACTTTTAACCGTTTATCACATTAACCGCACCGATGAAGAAATAAACGAGCTATTCAATACTATATCCTACACGATTTCCTGGTTTGTGCGTTTTTTCATACTCCGTTACCACGGAAATGTGTGCCACCGATATCAGAATAATATAATAAAAAATGAAAAATCCCGTTTATATATATAAGTTATGTGTCGTATTCTGTGTTCGACTCGGTGCACAAAATAACGAGACAAAAAAAAAAAGAAGCAAACAAATCATAACTGATTGGTTTTTTCACTGTAAATATATTCACTATATATATATATATATATATACAGGTAGTTTTTTGGTCGATTCAAACGTGAAACTCTTCTAAAAGTTTAATAAGGTGGAAAAATATCTTTCCAGTAAACAAAATTGTATACTTAACACTGCACGCGTTTTTTTAAAATATTATACTTATACAAAACTATGTATACTCTTAAATACATAAATTTCACTTCACTTCAATGAAATGCACAAGATGTCTGAAAAAATGAGACAAGAAAAAAAAATAAGAATAATAAAAAAATCGCGTAAAACAAAAAACGAAATATATGAATAATTTTAATCATTTTTTGATAATTATTGATAAAAAATTGATTTGCATATTAAATACAATATATTATATTATTAAAAATTAATAGGTTTTTAATTTGTATGAGCGTTTTTAAACACGAAAACATTGTGTCAAAAAATCATTTTATATTCAAAGAGAATAGGATTTATTATAAAACAGTGTATGATAAAAATTAATAAATACCAATTTATCTAGGGAATGACATATTCGTTTAATTAAAAAAAAAAATGTAGAAAAAAGGTTATGATTATTTTTATTATTGTAAAAAAAATGTCACTTTTAGATTCTTAGTAGAACGAGGAATGTTTTTTTTTGTTTTTTTTTTTTTATCTGTAAATAACTTTTCTATCGAAAATCCTATTTCAATTTACAAGTATAGCACTTTTTCTGAGAGTAAACTTGACTGGGATGGTACTCTAAAGGAGTAACTTTTTTATTTTATTTAGAATTTTCCCAATTGATGGGAAAAACCAGAAGAAAAACGGAAAAATAGGTACAATATTAAACAAATATTAAAGAAAATGTTTAATGAATATGCAGTTATTTTACCATTATAGGACATATAGATTGTTGACAAAGCAACACTATCAACTGCACTCCAATCAGAATCGTTTTTTCGTTAGCAATGGTTAATTATTGTAAATTATATATAACAGTGGCTGCACGCATTCTTATTGTCCTAAAACAGTTTTTTAATATTGAATTTCATGTTTACCGCTAGTAAATTGAAAATCAATACGTCATGTGCACCTTAGATATTGTTGTTGTCTTTAATTTTGACGTAGAACGATTCGAAGTTCTAAAAATTACTTTCGAAAGTTATACCTATACATTTTATGTTTTATGCAAACTATTTTTTTTAAATTTACGAGCGATGAATAGTTTCGTTGAAATCGCCTATCCATCCGTTGAAGGTTTGAATATATCGATAGTGTGATGACACCCCCCTAATACCTACGTTTATTTGTCGCCTATTTCAATTTATATAGACACGTATGTTGCACATAAATCTACCGGCTCTTGATGTAGACATAATACTATTCGTGAAAAATTTCAGTGAAACGACGAGATTTTAGTTTTTGCAGCTGTTTCGTTATAACAGGTGGGAGACGAACGCGGCTTGCCGTTACGCTCCCGAACTTAAAGACCCGTTTATATAATACTATTTTATTTATTATATTTAATAACCGCCATCGTAATATTGATTTATGATATTTGTTTAACGTTGCAATATTGCAATGTCGTTACTTATTACCGAATATGTTATTATACTATTGCCGATATAATAATAACGTAAATATAACTATTATAGCCGTTTTATTATTTCATAAATAAAATTTTACGATTTTATTCGAACCCTTGTGACACATTGTTGAACTTTTAAAATGTATTAATTTTGATCGCATAAAATATATAAATATATAATATAATATATTAATTGTTTCGTTAGCTCTGCAGATTGTTTACTCGTTCGCGAAACATTATGTTATTAGAATATATTGCAAATAGGTGAAAATACAATTATAACAGATACAAATAGACTTAGGTTTCGGATTGTGATAGTGGTGGTGGGGACTATTCTGAGAATTAATTAAATCGGTCGTTTTTTTTTGAAAAAAATAGCACACATTTTAATGTTTCTTCACCGCATTCAGGCTAGATCTTAAATAAAATATTCCTCATTGAATTATCGTGCGTGAGTATAAAAGTTTCGAATTTTTCGTCGGCCAAAGAATTCATATGCAGACAATTTCGCTATATGCGTGAATATGGTTTTCATGTATATTTTTTTGCCAGACAATAAATTCCGCATGACTCGGCCATTATTTTCGACGTTTCTAGGCAGTTTGAGATTGTTTTTTCCCGTGTTTTTTTGTACGCATTTTCTTCGACTAAAATAAATTAATCTTAGTGTACTGAAGCATAGTAGAGTAGAACGGACTTTTTATGTACAGTTTGAGACAATGTATTTTGTTTGGGGTTTTTTTTTCGTTTTCCTTTGGGGTCGCGATATAAACGTCCGAGCAAAGCGCTAAACAATAATGGGTCAAAAACACTACAGACGGAGACGGTTTTCAATTGTTGCCGGAACGCCTGTCATTTTAATATAAATTTGAATTACTTATTATATATTATGTAGGTACTCACGTGAAAATATTTACAGCAACATAATCGCATCGTGTTAAGATATACAATTACGTTATAATAGTAACTATTCTCAGTTTTCCTAATATTTTAGAATCTGAAATTTTATATTCCAGTATGGAATGATATAAAGCTAGATACTTAAATATATTAATTATAAAAATATTCTGTATTTTCATTTTCGTGGTACGTAATATTTGAAAAACTTGAAAATTTTCCCATGTACGTGTGCTGTTCTGTGCTCACAATAAGATGCTTGAATTTTATTTTCGTTGATATTCGATTTCCTTGGTTACAAATTTACTAGTTACAACTGTAAGATACCAGAATATTGTATAATTATGTTTTCTCAAAATGATATACTAAAAATAATTTGCTCAGAATCGTTTTTCCTTTACTATGATGTATCGGTTGTTTTATAAACAAAACTATTACGTGGTCATAAATAATATATTATTTATTGATTGTTTTAATTCCATCGTGCGCGACTATAGAAAATAATTACACGAAATCAATTACATCTGTTTTAAAGTTTATATTGATTACTAAAGGAATTATATAAGTTATAATTCATTTCTTGTATAAATCAGCCGAATACCAGTGATAATAAATATACCTACCCACCGAACGCGATTCCCGTGAAAAAGTAAAATCAAAAATATACCAAAAAACTAGATAAGTATACTTTTTAAGTATTAAACCATAGACCCAAAAAAGGGCTTCTAACCTTCTTTACCATCACGTGATTATGCACCGTAGTTGATACTGTCGACGATACTATTATTTTTACTATAATAGATAGATAGATACACTGCCGTTTTTATAATATGTAATATATATATTTTTTTAGACAAGACATTGTAACAATACGCGTTTGATGATCTCGTATTTGTAAAAAAAAAAAAAAACGGACATATTTCGCACGATTGATGGGCCACTATCGTATGTGAGAAGTTGGAAAGATAGAGGAGAAATTTAATGTATATCTGTACACAACAATTAATCATTACTAAAGAAAAACGATTCTGAGTGGAATTCGGTTATGCATTTTTTTAAAGGCCGTAATATTTACGATTTTAAAATAATACGTTTCATAAATTTTCCTGGTTTTTACCATTTATTATGAAAACTCCCAGAAAAATCAATAATATAACTTTTTTAACATATATCTCCAGTTCAATTTCCTTTCAGAAAAAATGCTACCTACACTTGAAAATCGGAGCAAAATTTCTAATAGAAAAGTTGTTTACAGAAAAAAAAAATAAAAAAAATAAACATCAGTGTAAAACCAATACATTCCTCGCTCCTCTCAGAATCTAAAATTGTCCGCAGTGTTGGGTTTTATATTGCCATCACACTGATAAATAATTTTCCACTTCAGCTGACGTTATAATAATACTTCACAATTTAAATGTTACAAAGAACAATACAAAAGCTCTACGCTCGCTACACGGTCTGTAGGAACACTATTTTTCATCATTTGTTTTTCACTTAATGTATTTTCTAATATGTTCGACGATTACTTTGGAAACCCTCTTTTGGCTTTTTTCCCAATTCATCTGACATTTTGATTCATTTTATATAAACGCTCGACCTTTGTTGTTGTATTGGGACTTGACAGTATTTATTCGGTACCTACATATTTAAATTTGAAAATATGTATAAGTATGTGCATTATATAGATAATATCACATATAGTTTTTATTCTCTGGAGTAGCACTATAGATGTATTCCAAGAATAGCACGTGTTCGTTATAATAGATCTCGTAATGTTTGATCATCGTTGACAATTGGTGGGACTATTATTTTTTACTTCATCGATAATTGAACGAAATGACGGGAAAAGAACCGTGATTCATTTCTCGTTAAGGCAAAAATATAACAATATCAAGTGTCTACGAACGCCATCCCGTCGCGCAACGGATTGAAAAACATCATATAATAATTACGTTTAAAACATAGTGTTACGTGTTATTTTTACGATTACGATTTATTCGAATCAGGTAAGGGCTACAATAATGTATTATTTTTTTTAGAAACCTTTATCAACTTTTTTACGGTTTGATCAGGTCAATATCACAGATATTCGTCTCACTACCAGAACTACAATAATTTTTTTTCGGCGTATAAGTCATATATTATATAGATAGTAACAATATTTATACGATATCGATTTTCGTATGCTATTATTGTATTTTGGAATGTTGTATAACATATGTACATTTTTTTTATATTTGATTTTGGTCATCTACTTTTCGGTGCCCTTAAAATATGTATGTAATTATATATTGCACACAGACCCTATGCCACAAAAAAAAAATACATATATATATTTGCATATTAAATTAATTCCCTAAAAATTCCCTACATTTTATAAATAGTACATATACTTATTAATTAATTTTTATTTGTTTGGGTAATATCTAATATCCTACTGAATTGTTGACAATTTAGAACATTTTAAGTAATCGAAAATATGTGCGCTGCACACAAGGTGTGCGGCGCACATATTTTTATTATTAGTATTATTAATATTATTTTACATTATTTGATTAATCGCGGGCTAACAAAAGATTCAGTTTAATCGAATAAAATATGTACATATACGGGATTTTCGAAAACTTATAATGTACCTATATAATAACTGTATATTATTCAGGCACAGTATTCAAGTTTAGCTCCGTTGTTGAATTTATATCACCGCCACTGTGTTTAAAAACAATTCAGGTACCTATTTACTCATATATTATATATCATTCGTTATCAACGGTATACGTGTTATAAATAATAAATAACCGAATAATCCCGTTGATATTGTTTTGAATAAAATAAAATATGATGTTATTGACACCTACCTACCCCGAGCCAAGAAGTTTGCGAATCTTCTTCTCGAACAATTTAAAATCTATTTTTATTTCTATGTTGAAACGACTTTGTCATACATTTTAAATCGATTTTAGTTGATACATTTTCATCATTAAAATTCGGTAGCCTTGACTTTAACATAAATTAAAAAGTACATTTTATTTAAGTTGATTAAAATATTAATAGTTTTTTTCGCACAAATTCAACTTTTTGCATTTTATTTCTAGTTAAGTATTACCTATAACTGTTCGACAACGAACGATCGAGTCTGTTTTTTGTAACAAATAATTATAATATTAATAATTTATAATAAATAACAATATTTATTTTCATTAATTTGCAACCCACTTTTGAATATTAATACCAACGATAAAAGTTTAACTCTTTTCGATATATATGGTTATTATTAGTTTTTACCGGTGAAAAATCATTCTAAAAAAACATTCGAACTGCGTAAAAGATAATGATTATGATTAGGTACACCTCTGTCATGAAAAAAAGTACACAGCTTTTAATGATATTAAATATTTTCGGTGCTGTGCTGTTTTTGTTATAGAACTCAAGTAGGTCTTAAAAAGATCTTATCATTATTCCAATATAAATGCAGGTACCTTTGAAGTTCCACAAGGGTCGCATTAGGACCACTTCTTTTCTTAAAATATACAAATGATCTTCTAATCTTAAATACTTTAATAAACATTTTAATATTTGCTGAAGATATTAAAATTTATTTTAAAATTAAATATTCCGAAGACCTCAATTTATTGCAATCTAATTTGAATAATCTGGCATTATTGAGTAAAATAAACTGTTTTATGATGAATGTAAAATTATATATTTTTCACGTAGTAAAAATTCTATTTGTAAATAATTATCTAATTGATAACTATCCTCTTGAAAGATGTTATTCAATGACTGATTTAGGTATTTGTTTTGAATTTGATTTGTCCTTAAAATTAAATCGTAAAATTATTATAAATAAATCGTTTAAGATGTTGAACTTTATTAACAGAAATATAAAAGACTTTAAAACTTCTTTTTGTTTAAAAATATTATATAGTTCTTTATAGTTAGATCAAATCTAAAATTATTTGAATCATTGATTTAGTCTAATAATTATTTTACTAATTTTTGAAAAGAAATGCGTATAGTATCACTCATTGCTCTGTCTCTAGAGAATATTTCCATTTGGTTCAGAATTCTATGGATCTTTATTCTCTTTCCATTACGCGTGATTTAATCGATATAATGTTTATTTTGGTATTTTAAATGACTTTATTAATTTAGATAAATGGCCAGACCTTTTAAATTTAATTAGATTCAGAATTCATTGAAAGATTATTACACGCAATTTTGATTTGTCTTATATAACTGTGCCAAAAATTTTTTTTTTCACGGCTCTTTTAAATGGTAGTAAAATCTTCGCTGTTTTAGTTGGTTTTGTTCTATCACGTCATATTTTTAAAAGCTAAAACGCTGTTTTTAAAAAATGAAGCTTAATTATTTCAAATTTATAATATATATATGTTGTATATAATTTTTTTTTCTATTATTTCTATATTCATTATTTTTATACATATACATATATATTTTATATTTAATAATAATAAATTTATTTATTTATTAATTAAAAATAAATTTTTATATTATATTTTTATATATACATTTTTTTTCTCCCAGTATTAATTATTATTTCATACATTTTCATATGTCAATTATCTGTATAAATTCCGAATATTTTGTCAACGAGCTTTTACTCGTTGATTATAATAAATAAATAAATAAAACGTTACCGAAGTCTACATATTTCTGTAGAAAAGACAGCTTTACCTACTTACCAAATAATAATGCACATAGAAAATAAACTACCATTTTAAACATTGTCCTTCTTATATTTTCGATAAAATTATAGTATTAATTATGATTCATTTTAATTTATGTATTCGGTATCATAGAGATTCGTCAGCAAAGATTAGTTAGCCGATTTCGTGGTTGTATGTATATAACATAAATGGTATATCTACCTATATTACGCTTTATGGTAAAAATGAAAAACGATTGATACGCATAATATGTATTATTGAAGTAATCTGCTTATAATTTAACTACGCATTTCAAAAAAATATTACAGTAACAAATTATTCAATTTTCAGGATGCTTATTTAACGGTTATGTGTGTGCTGAATACGAGTGGTGCTTCAATGGTAAGACATTAGGCATGATTTTAAAATAATATTTACCATATCGGTGTTAGCGATATCATAGTAATTAATACTAATCGTATTATTATAGATCATGCATTTGGTCAATGTGTTTCCAAAAATGAGAACGGACATCGGGAATATGTGTAAGAATAATGACCCTGTCTGTAATGACTTAACACACAACTATCCACAATCAATTGTATTTTCCAACGTGGATATAGATCTGTTTTAATTTGATTGAAACGGGCTTTTACAGATTTAAACTGGTATGGGATAATCTCTTACTTCTACAACAAGATATGAAAAGTCTCTATCACAACGGTTATGGTTGGCCGCATCCGTTTACACAGTGCATAATTAAACAACGATTGGAAGTGATACAGTACGGTGAATCGGATGACATTTTAAAATGTAAACAATATTCAAAAATACCCATCAATAGACCAGTTAGTATATTAATTTTATACACGCGACAATACATTTTTACATTATATTGTAATTTCAACAATTGTGTACGTAGAATGACAATTATGCGATGGGTTACCCTAATCAACCGATGGACGTGTACGTGGATCCCGGAGACATCAGAAGAAACCGTGACTACTATGCGGATATTATAGGTATTTAATATTAAAAATTATCGGAAAACTATGTTAATGCAAGTGATGGTATTTGATTTAGACGATTATCCAAGAACTGATATTCGCAGAAATAAACTGCAAGGGACGCCTTTATATATGCCGTGGATGCAAGGCATGCCATTGTCCACATGGTAATATTCAGCGAACACTTTTTAATAAATTATTGACATTTTTTCAGGAGTTAAACCACAGTATGCTGAGCAAGTTAGTCCAGAAACTTACGGTCAACCGAGATTCCGTCCAGATTACAATACTCCGGAAAGATTTAGAGCTGGCGATGAGGTTAAAGATAAGATAGACGAAGAGTGGAAAGAACTGCAACGGATGGATGAGGCGCCCAAAGGTACACAGGAAAATCCGAATAAAGCTTACACGGAAGGTGGTTTAGTGTTCTTGCACAGCAAGGGTAAGTGTATTTATACCATAACCGCGGTTCATAGCATAAATAAACAACTCTAACAATGTATAATTTAGGATGGGTATTTATAGGAGCTTCAGGCAATGAAGAAGACGATGAGATGATGATGGCTAATTTCATGAAGTCTTATGATCCGAAATTTGGATGGATAGGATTCAAAAGACCCGAGCGGTTGGACGTCAAAAAACCGGGACCAGGATTTAACACAATTAATAATTATGTGTTCAGGGTGAGTTTATCACGAAATTTTATATACGAACTACTGGACTATAATAGTTCGTATTTTGTGTAATGGTATAAAACATTTCAGACAGACGCAATGAACGAACGAGAAAAACAAAAACAAGATATCCAGAAAACAGTCGGTATGTCATCGATTGTGTTCTATAAATCTAGTGAAAAATATTTTTTTAAAAAATTTGTTTGCAGATGCTGCCACATTGTTAGGAACAAGCCGGAAAATGAAACCAGAGAGTACGGAGCAGGGCAACAGCAAGGGAAAACTAACTCAAGACGATTTCAAAACGCAATTGTATATGCCTGAAATTTTACCAGAAGAATATAAAGATCCCAACCAAAAATATGGGGCATTGTTTGACTATAATGACAATAATGGACTTTCTAAAACGGCTGACTCTACTTACGTACACATCCGCCTAAAATATAAGTTGGTTATATTTTTATGAAATTATATTTAGATTATTTAAGGAGCTAACGATACATGTATTATTTATTGTTGTTATAAAATTTAAAATTAGTATTCGAAATTATATACCACGAAAACTTAGAAATATGCACAATAAATGATCTACAATGACGTATTTGAGACTTCACTCCAAGAGATGGATGATATTAAAGGAGGTCAACCCCACCCCTCCCTCTGAATAAAAGTTATATACATTTGATAGTGTTAAGTCAATTTTTTATTTACAGAAGAAGATCTATATTTTTTTTTTAATATTTGCAAATCTATCAATAACACCATCAACATCTAATGCAATTGATTTATGCATATTAAGCAATGTTAAACCCGTTAAAATAATACAATACTTTCTTTATTAATTGTATAAATTATAGACATTAGCTTTTATTTTATAGAACTTAACGCGCTCTTTATTTTACTTTGCAAATATGTTACTATGGTATTTTAAAAATAACTATGGTATTTTAAAAATAAGTTTTATGATTTCTCATACTCGTTATTTTTTTATTTTTTAAGGCTTAAGATAAGACGCAAAGGATCTGATCTGCTTAAAATTCTGATGAATATTATCGGCTACCATTATAATAATATTTTTAATGACCAGTAAGTTTAACAATGATCACACTAACATTGGGTGGTTACAGTAACATTTCCTATCTCTGTCTATATAATGTGCAATACATCAAAATTGTGTTTTTGTCCTTATAATAGTACTAAAGATCTAATAGACCTAAAATAAAAATTATTTTACCAAATTAAAGACAGCAATATTTTAACGACGCTTTCACGGTTTTTTGATATCTTATTTCTCAGATAATCTATTCGTACCTACTTCAAACGTAAAAAAAATAAATATTTTTTAGCTTGATAAAAAATATTAAAAAATTCTCCAGTGAAAACATAGTACAAGTTTTCGTCTATAATTTTGTGGAAAAATGTTTCTTTTAGGTCTATTAGATCTCGAGTACTATTGAAAATACGAAAAAAACCATTTTGTTATATTCGCATTAGTTAGACAAAGTCGACAAATTTTACAAAACGTATTATCCACATAATGTCTTTGTCTTATAAATGTAAAATAGACAATTTATATTTAGCCGGGACAAATTTGAGCTGTTAATTTTAATATTATTTAGAATTAACCCGTATCAAACTTAAAGATCAGAATACTATATGTGTAACGTTGGCACTATTTTTTCGATCTTTAAATTTAGTGAGATACAAGAACTATTAATATAATATTGATATTGAATATTATATTCATGCTCTTTTAAAAATTAAAATATCAAAAAAATAGTGCTATAACAGATAACGTTCCTAATTATTTTAGTTTGATGAAAAGTGAATCTATTATAATATTAAAATTAACAGGAAAATATTGTTGTCCTTGCTGAACGTAAATTTCCTACGTTGTACGTTTGTAAGATGGAAATAACATTATATGTGGGTATGACGCCTTCTTAATCCTAATTCGTTTTATTTAAAATGTCCACTGTTATTTTTTTAGTTACGGTGATGACGAAATAACGTTCCAAATAGTTCCGAACACCGGAATCAACACTACGGGCATTGCGCTTTTGATAGAAAGAATGAAAAATAAATTTTTTGCGGATACAGGTTATGAAATAACGTTTATAGCCGCCGGGGAAGATAAGGTAAATTCCCGGGTAAATTATATTACGGGGTAGTTTAATAATATTATTAATCCGGTACATGTACATTCATTAAATCGATGTCAATTTGGATATTTTCAAACAGAGAGGCCAATCGATCGAAAATCAAACCATAAAACCGATTGACACACAGACCATTAAGGACATAACAGCATCAGCGTCAGTGATGAAGATTCCTAATTACGAAAAACCTGTGAACTACGAATGGATTTTTGTTAGCATCGCTGTCGTGTGTGCGATTATTGTGTCTATTTCAGCATTCATAATGATGAAAAAGCACGGAAAGTATAAAGCCAAGTTTGAAGGATTAATCGGTGGTAACACGGAAGTCAGTAAAGATTATCAGGTAAATTTGATCGAGATGTACTATATTATAATACTAAGGTCATTTTTATACTTCAAATAAGATTAAATAAATTGTAAATGATCTTAATGAATTTAAAGGCTCACTATCATATGCAATGTATAATACTAGTGTCAGATAAAATATTTATCTAATAATAGGTAATAGTAACAAACAAATACATATTTTATTGGTACCAAGTTTTTTTATTACCTAATGTCTTTGTATTAGATATAATCTTAGGATTTTTTTTGAAATCAAAATATATAAAAAGGTCAACATAATGTATTTAAATTTAAACTTGATTTGAGCTGGCATGACTAATTTAGAAGATCAAACCAAATACTGATATCTAACAGTATCATTAGAGTTAATTCAACTCCAAAATGTCTATATTGTATTGTATGTATTCTTTAAAGACATATTTTTGGTTAGTAAAAATGCTTCAAAATTATCATGCGTTACTTTAAAATGTGTGTTTTTCGTCTAATAGAAGTATTCTTTTAAACAATTAAACATTTTTGGAAATCCTAATTATTTTTTCTTTAAAATGGCTTTTTTTTTTTTTTTAATTTAAATATGAATTTATAAAATACAAGTTCTAAAATAAATTTAAGTACTTTAAGAATTTTAAAAATGTCCTGTCAACTATTATAATATAAGTATTCAAAATTAAGATTATTTATTTATCTAGATTTGTATCCATAAATATAATATACTAGCTAAAAAATTCTTTCAAAATTGTATATGTATAGAATCATAGTTTATTGTTTAAAATACTTTTAGAAATTGGGGACTTTGCACGCTTTCAGAGTGTGGTTTCCGAACTTGTTTATCAGATATTTTACTAGGTAATAGATAGACACGGATCGAATGAGTCATTAATATTCTGTGAATTTATTAAAAAAAAAAATAATAAAAACAATAATTAGTTCAATACTGAATAGTGAACCTGTTTGATTATATTACATTATATTTAATTATTTATTATATTATTATTGACAGATACTAGGTAACTATATTAAATTGATATTTTAAGAAATGTTTAGGTTAGGTTAAGCTTCGTTTAATAATAATTGCTGTGCTTGAACTGATTTGTGATTTGCACAGTTTGTATATAATAGGTATACGGACATTTGTAGCAGGAAAAGGCAAAGCAAATGTGTTATAAACGTGTAAAACAAACAAAATACGGAAAACAACAGATGAATTCTATTGAATTATAAATTATATAGTAACACTCATTAGTAGATAATAACATTTTGTAATAAAACTCATAATAATTCTACCGATAAGTTCTGTAGTATAATTTATTGTGATATATTTCCTAATCATATCAAATACCTGAAAAAAATGTCCAATAGTTGTACAATATATTGATTATAATAAAAATCAAAGAGGCATTTTATATCAATATGATAAATAAATTAATGGTAATTTTTTTTTTATAACTAGTAAAATAATTTTGTTTTTTATTGTACCTATGCAATTTTGTGTTTATAACGAGTATTCAGTGGTGTCACCGATCATACACATACTGCATACCTACCTGTTATTATTAAATGTATGGCTACCTGTTATTGTACATAACACGCATTTTTTTTTCACTAAGGATTTATGTCGGGCTAGAATGTCGAACAAAAAGGACGAATCAAACGCCACGTCGCAGAGAATAGCGAGCTTGTCAAAAGATCCGGACAACAGTCCTTCGTCGAGATCGAGCACATCATCTTGGTATTTGTTTTGTTTAAGAGTACTATATACAATATATTATTAACTATATATATACCGGAAAATTTTCGATTTTAAGGGGAGAAGAACCGGTTTTATCAAACATGGACATATCTACCGGACACATGGTTTTGGTAACAACGCGACAATACATTTAATATTATTATTATTTATTCAAATCTGGTATGTCGTCAAACTTACTATATTTTATACCTATTGCATTTTAGGCGTATATGGAAGACCATCTGAATAACAAGAACCGTTTGGATAGCGAGTGGGCTGCGCTTTGCGCGTACGAAGCCGAACCGTGTGCAGTTATTGTGGCCAGAAAAGTAAGGGCAAAAATCATGAGTTGGGGCTTCGGCCAAAATTAAAATTTTGAAATTGTGTACCATTTGATTCAACCACTTTGTGTAACGTACAAACATTATACATGGTATCGATTGGGGTGGTAGGAGTGTGAAGTTATACATTTGCTGCACTAAATGCTACAATTATTTAGACTTGTCTTAAATGGTCATTTTTAATGATTTATACATTTTTTTTAAACGGGCAGAATGTAACAATTTTTCAAGGAGTAAGAAATTGTTTTTAATTAATTTCCTGCAGTGCTGGGTTTCTGTAGGACGTGTACCTACTTTTAAGTCCATTCTATAATTAGTATAACATTGTAATTGAACATATTGTTTGATTGGTTTGAGCCGAAAAATTATTTATTTGTATGAGTATATTTGATCGAAAATTGTTTTTTTTTCATGTAGCCGGATAATGCCAAGAAGAACCGTTATATCAACGCTCTTCCGTACGACCATGCTCGCGTCGTGATAAGCGAATACGCCAACCTGAACAACTGTGACTACATCAACGCATCCACAATAGTACGAATTTATAAAACAAATTACCATATTGTAGCAGGGGTGGCATTTTTTTACCCCACCACATTATACATCCAGAGTTGGGCAAATTAAAGTTACGTACCTCTTATATTATTTTTACCAATTACACAGCATGATGATAACAATTTTATCCTAAATATAGACACACATGTTTTAAGTAATTTGTATAACTGTACTGGTTACAAATATTTAGATACTTACTTTATTCTTATACTTTACTTTTGTCTAACTTGCCCAACTCTGTGTAAACCAATGTGTTATAATTTACGTAGTTCCAGAGTTCGAAACAAAATAAGCGGATACAAATATATCGCATTATTGCATTTATAGGTACTCGACGGCAACAATTTATATCATCAGTTTGTATCACATGAATGAGAGTAAATATGTTTGATAGAAAAAAAAAAACGTTATGTGCTAATCGAATAAATCAAGCATTGCTTTACTACTCATGTGTTGTGTTCGCCGTGAAATTTTATTTTCATTGCGTTTTACAGACCGACCACGACCCGCGGAACCCGGCGTACATCGCCACACAGGGACCGTTGCCCGATACGTCGGCAGACTTTTGGCAGATGGTGTGGGAACAGGGCTGCGTGGTAATCGTGATGTTGACCAGATTGGTGGAGAACGACGTAGCTCTGTGCCATCGTTACTGGCCCGAAGAGGGATCTGAACTTTATCACATTTACGAGGTGTGTATATAGACAGGACCGCCACTCAATAAATCATTATACCGACTGACCGACTTTCTACTTGCAGGTGCATTTGGTGAGTGAGCATATATGGTGCGACGATTATTTGGTGAGAAGCTTCTATCTGAAAAATTTAAAGACAGGAGAGACCAGAACCGTCACTCAGTTCCACTTTTTGACATGGCCGGACGGAGGAGTACCTCACACTACTAAAGCTCTCTTGGAATTCCGCAGGTAATATAAAACAGGGATGTGAACAGAACTGCTCTCTTTAAAAAAGCCTATTATAGTATACATGGAAAGAGCTTACATAATCTAATGACTGAATTTTGAGTACCAAATAAACTAATAGGACTGATCAGGATGTGTATGAAAGAACTACAGTATCAAATCAAGACAGATAAGACTACCTTCGAAATTTTTACAGTAGAAACAGTAGATACAGTCTTCGAAAAATCAACAAATAAAGTAGAATTAAAAATAAACATAGAAAAGACAAAGGTCATGGAACTATTAGATAACAGACATAACAGACCCTGATGATTGGACCTACGAAAAAGTTAACGAGTTCCAATACCTTGGTATATGCTTAAATACGAAGAATGACTCTTCACGAGATTCGAGTGAGGATAGAAAAAGCAGAGAGCATCCTTTGGATAGTCAAAATTCTTCAAATCAAAAATATTGCAAAAAAAATCAAAAGTTAGACTCTACACGACGATAGTAGGGCTACATAGACGTATTGATGTGAAGTATGGATGACAACGAGCGTATTAAAACGGAAACTCACCATTTTCGAAAACAGAATAGAGCGGATAATAAGCGGACCCAAATTAGATAAAAAATACTATTATGTGGAGGAGAAAGTTTAACAAAGAATTAATAGAGGAAACAGAAATAGCTCTAATTAAATGTTATCTAAGAGGTCAGAGAATCCAGTGGTTTGGGGGCACATTATGCATGTAAATGACGATAACATAATTAAAAATGTTATGTCCTAGAAACCGACAGCAAAGAGGTCACGAGAACGTCCAAGAACGTTCCACGTCCATCCAGGTGGATGGACGTGGTCGAGAAAGATTTACAAAGGATAGGAGTGAATTAGTGAAGAATCATGATCGGGTGAAGTGGCGTGAAGTTGTGATGGCAGCAAAAAATCTTGTAGAGTAGATTGGGCCTGAAAAAAAAAAACAATAAAGAGGCACCTAAAAACACCTGTCCCAAGAATTTAAACACAATATTTAAAACTCAATAATATTTTTCTTTTTTTACAGAAAAGTTAATAAGTCGTTCCGTGGTAGATCTTGTCCGATTGTCGTCCATTGCAGGTGAATTTAGTGCCAAGACAATATTATATTTTAATATTTAACCAGTAACCACATATAATATTACTAATCTACAAAAAAAATATTTTTTGGATTGTAGCGACGGTGTCAGTCGTACTGGTTCATACTGTTTATTGGATATGGTTCTCAACCGCATGGCAAAAGGGGCTAAGGAAATCGATATAGCGGCGACTCTAGAGCATATTAGGGACCAGCGTTCGGGCGCGGTGGCTACTAAGGCACAGTTCCAGATGGTGTTGGCTGCCGTGGCCGAAGAAGTGCAGGCCATTCTGAAAGCTTTGCCTCAGCAACAGACGCCTCAGCCGCTGCCCCCACCACCCCCGCCGGCCCAACACTGAACGCGATCATAGACTATTCCTATCAGTACTCACAAGCACACAAACTCCTGACACAAAACGCACACTAGCGTGATTTTTTAAACTCTACTACTACTATATTATAATATTATAATCTATCTAATCGCTAGTGTTTATCCTATTTTACGATAAGTAGACTATAAAAAAAAAAAAAATTAAATAAACGTCTTCTCGATCTCATCTACTATCTCTGCTATATTATATTTTTAGATAGGTACATTAAGTAGGTGACACTGTGTTAAAATAATGTTTCATAATGATTTTAATAAAAATAATATTTCAGACAACTAAAACGAGAACATTAAAAATCAAAATGTAGTTTTGAAAAATATTGATGTAAAGTATAAGAATGAAGATATTTTAAAAGGATTTACTTTAGAGATTTTTATTTAGAAAAAAACCGTTCAAGTTTTACAACATACAATCTTCAAAACGTTATTATAAACACCCAATAATTTAAACGCCACAAATTGAAATAAAGCAGCTTTGTATTTTTGACTAGTATCCACTTCTTGTGATTAGTAGCACAAATTAAAAATATAATAAGTAACATAAAGTAAATAATTGCATGGCTAAAAATTTGAATATATTATACTGATACACCTTTTTGGAGGTTAAATGAACAATTATAGTCAACTCTTACATTTTATAGAGACAAAGAGATAAACTAGTAAATTACTTGAATGCAGTATTATCACAAAATTGATAGTTTTTGAATTGTGTAACGGTCACAATAAGGTGTAATAGTGCGCATATTATAATATTATCCGTAAAATTATACAAAATAACCATTTATTTGATACCAATATTATACGTGTCAATATACACTTTTCCGGTCAATTGTTACCAATAAAAAATAACCATAAACAGGTCAACTATATTATTATTATGTTACGTACTGTGTATTTTTTTATTTATTTTATTATATAATTTTAATTTTTTGTTTATTTTGTTTTTATGTTAAGTATATGAACTTGTTTATTTTCTTGACTTCACAACATTATTCTCAACTATTAAAGTAGGTACCTAAGTAATATTTTCAATTTTATTAAATATATCTAACGTGTGTTAACATTCATGTAGAATCTAATAATATGCAATTTTAACCAAATTATCTACTATTACCTATATTAGAAATTATTATATTATATTAGTTTTCATTTTTTGACATTAAATATATATATATATATATATATGTATTCATCAAAAATAAATATTATATAAACATATTATTATATGAGTAAAAAAAGTTAATATATTATATATACAAAATATATCTAATTTCAATATATATTATATTATATAATATCTATTATTATATACATTAAACAATTATTAATTATAATAACCGTAGAGAAATATTTAAAAAATTATACTTACACAGAATATTATGTGTGTCGAACATGAAATTACCTATATATTATCTGAATAAAAATTTTAACTTTCCCCTGACGATTAATTATTATTACCTATTATAAGTATATAATTTATAATATTCACCTCACAATATATATATATAATACAAAACCTATAACCTCAGCACATTGTATTTTCATTGTTCACTTAATAAAATAAGTTATGTTCATATTATAAAATAATAGTAGAACAAACATACATGATATGGCGAACAATCAAAGGTTAGCACTCATCTATTCATCATCGGTATTTAATACTAAATTCTATTTACATCACTATTATTCAATTAGGTGACATACACATTTTATCAAAAGTTACAATTGGTATGATTTATTTTATTTGGGATATAAAATATTACTGATAGCAAAGTGGTATCATAAACAATTACACGAATAACAAACAAAAAAAAATATTGGATGATCACAAGTTCACAAGTTAAAATTATTACATTATTAAACAAACTTGATAACACTAGGCAAACTTACTGAAAAATAAAACATATAATAGGGTTGTTTTAAAATTATTTGATAAATAATTATAAATTGGAAAATATCAACAGTAAACGCATCAACATGGTATAACATTCAATTTGTATGCAATACTTGACTCATTCATAAGGACATCAAATTACATTAATCAATATCAATTATATAATAAAACCATTTAGTATTTGAATAAAAATAAAATAAATATATTTAACTTAGATACTGATTTTAATTTTAACTAGTGGTGTTTAGTTTATATTTTGAATAAACTGAATATAATAATATTCAGCTTATTCAAAACAGGACCACACTCATTATAATATAGATTATAGGTAAACTATTATACATTTTGATGTTTTACGAATCGCATTTAATCTTTGATTGATTAAAATTGTTTTATGATAAACCTGCTAAAAATATTAATTTTTTGATGAATACTGAAACAAACAACTGGATGACAGTATAAAAGAAATAGTTACAAAATGTATTGTTCTCTATCTACTTAACCACATATAGGAATTCAAATGAAAATATTTAAAATTAATTTAGTTTTCTTAAATAACTGGTGAATAGTATACGGTTTTATTATTCAAATGTTTATTTAGGAAAATTTGATTGATAGGCCTAACCTAACATACGTTGTATGCCTACTCAGATAAGTACCTACCTTCTCAACAAAATAGAAATTATCAAGTAAAATAAAAAATATTTTCCATACCTACCTAAATTCTTAAAGTTATCCATTCTTATTTAGATAAAATGTTAGCAAATGTTTAATCCACAAAATAATCAGTAGGTAGATCTCAAAACAATTTTCAAATACCTATTAGGTATACCTAGGTATAGACTATAAACATGTTCTTATAAATATGTTTTTCATTTTTAATCATTTACTTACAATAAAATATAGGTAGACTTGTTCACTATATAAATTTTAAATTATTCAGTCATGTTATGTTAAAATTTTAAATATTTGCGTTTACTAACTGAGAGTTACGAAATAATATTATTTAAAATTTGGATACATAAATATATGTAAAATAATACAATGATTTGTGAAAAATTAAAAAAACTAATCCATAATCGAATTTTTATTTGTGAAATGTAAATCGTTATAACTTTATATTTGTTAGTTAATTTGTGGTCATGATTCATGGTTGTAAATTTGAATCTTTTGGTACCATTTGTAAAGCATTGGTACATCTATAAGATTATACAACACTGTTCTATGGTATAACTACATGACATATTATTCTTTATCATATCTCGGATTATTTTTCGGATGAGGATGTTGTTTGCAAGATGGATTGATATTAATATTAATCTACCTCGGTTTTTGTTTGTGTTATCATTACACTATGATTGATACTTTTTCGAAAATGATAAGAATCGTTTTCAGAAACCCAGTCCGACCGCATAATATGAACAAAGCAATATTACGATATAGCAGTATTTAGTATTCAAATATTACAAATTTAAAATGTATAGGTATACAAATTATGCTCTCGGTCAGCTGTTATCATAGACTTTTTACTATAAAACCAAGGTAGTTATAATAACTACCTTGAGTAAAATTGTAAAAGATCTATGGTTATTATTTTTCTTTATCATTTTAATCAACTGTCCTCTACCCACTCTGTGACAAACACAAATTGGCTGACTTTTCAAGTGTTTAGTTGAGCAAAGAAACGTGTTTAAAGGAAATCTGTTTAAAAATCCTTTTTGTTTTAACTTTTTATTTTAATTTCCTGATAAGTTATAATATAACTTGGGCGCTTTTACACAATTAAGTACCATGTTATTTTTTTGAAGTTGGTTACACTGAGTGATTTTGGTATGATTACAAATTGTTCATTACGGTGAACGATTACTTTTGCGATATTATTTATTCATCAACCACGTTTTGAGTTTTGAGTTTCACTCTAATCTCAATATCTCACCGAATCATTCAATTTTTGGTTTATACACTAACCCAAATCTAGTAAGTATATTTAATTTTAACGTAAATCTTGAAATATTCTAAACTTTTATTAAAACTTCAAAAAACAGAGCAGAAATGGATAAGCCAGTTGTTCTATCTCGCGTGTTGAAGGTTTTGGGACGTACCGGTTCACAGGGACAATGTACCCAAGTGAAAGTCGAATTCATCGGTGAACAAAATCGTCAAATCATTCGAAACGTAAAGGGACCAGTACGTGAGGGTGACATTCTTACGCTACTCGAGTCTGAAAGAGAAGCCAGAAGACTTCGATAGGACTATAATATAACGTAGGTATACGGTTATGTATAGATATATTGAGACATTGAGTTATCGGTTTTAAAGTTTTTGTCTAAATTAACTGCTTGAAGTGTATTCAACAATTTATTATTTTCTATTTGGATATGATTAAAGTATACAAGTGAAATTTTAACTTTGTTGGTAAACCAAAATTGAAAATTCACAATGGTTTAAAAATGAATGTCTTAGAAAATCCGTGCAAAAATATCCAACTGTCTACTTAATCATTTGGTCAAAATAAAATATTTGAAATATCTTATAATAAATATATACAGGGTGATTAATCTATCATAAGACAAGTGAGTAGACTCATTAACTCGGAAAATATTAACTTTTTTCGGCTTTTGTTTTATAGACAATTTTAGAAACAAGCAACTCTGCAATTTTACATTTATGTTTTTTTTTGACGATAAAACTACTGTCTACTTTTGATTTTCAAATGACAACTTATATTGTAAATTCCATAAATAGATGAACTAGTAATAATACATTTTGGTGTTGAAATTTTTGATTTCTTTCAATTTGAGAGAAATTATTGGTACATTCTTAAAACACCGCTCGTTGTGCCGCCACATAAATGATATTTCACTACTTTCACTTGACCCAAACTTAAAAGTGGAATATTTCGTCAACAGATTGATGAAAATTATAAATTTAAACTCCAAAATGTATTTTAACTATTACTCCATTTATTTATGGAATTTTTATTATAGGTTGCCATTTTAAAATCATTAATAGGTTGTTGTTTTACTTCCAAAAATAAGGATGACAAAAAATAATGTAAATGTTAAATCTTAGAACAGCTTGTTTCTTAAATATTTTTAAAATAAACTTTAAAAAAATTTAAGACTTTCCGAGATAATAAGTGTCTTACAATAGATGGATCACACCCTATGTGTAACAACAAATCATTTAAATGTTACTAATAACAAAAAATAAATAATTATATTAAAATTCTATAGTAACAAATCATTTGTCCAAATGCACTTGGTCACAATTTTATTATTGAAATTTAGTAATAAATTATTAAATTTTTTAAATTTATATAAACAATGTTTCCACAGGTTTTAAAAAGTAATCCGTTTTATCACTAGAGTCGTTTTCTCTAACATATCTGTTTATCTGATATTTAAACTGAATTTATGGCTGATAACTGACAACGATTGGTAGTTTATTGAATATTGGATAAATTTCATATAAAAATTAACATTTATGTTGGTGAGAATAACCCATTATCAAAATATAACATCCAATAAGCTGGTATATTTTTATAATTACTAGTAGATTATTTTTTGTACAATTATAAGAAGACTAGAGACTATTTGGTCATTATTGCACTTGTCACATTTTGTTTATCAGAAACGTTATATTAAGTTATGTGTAAGATGTGCCTATTATTGATGATGGATACTTTATATGTACATGGAAATATATTGTTAAAGATGTGGACATATTTCGCAAATTAAATTTAAATTAATTAAAACTCAATTAATTAACTCGTTCACTAAAATAATTTGTTCTTTGAAACTCAGAAAATAGCTCACCGCATGTTTTGTCCCAATCTTGTATGAACTTCTCCCTAAACCTTAGGTACATAGATACAATTTTAAAATTAATTTTCATTAGTTACCTAATTAAGTTAAATTTAGCATTACATTTTTGGGTAAAAGAGACATTTAGTTTAGGATAGATAATATTTAACTATACAAATTACCTATTTTATGCAAGTATTTTAATTCTGCAAATTTCTCTCTTTAATAGTAAACATATTAAAATTATTAAAGTAAATATTTTCCAGCATTACAGTTGTGGCACTAGCTAAGTAAAAAAAAAAAAAATATTATTATCGCCATGACAGAGTAATAATATTATGAGGTAATTATATTGTTATTAACAATTATATTGTTGTTGAAAGTAAATACATACTTACATTTATATTTTTAAATTTATATTAAGAGTGTTGAATTTTTAATATTATTTTCTTCAGCTTGTAATATTCACATTTTATTTTAATTTTGGTGAGACTGAATTGTATACACATAAGCCATTAGTTATTAATATTACATTCTGTACAACTTCTGACAGTCAATTTTTTTTTTCAGATTAATTCAATTTCATTGGGTTGTTGCTGGTGTTGCTGCTGCCATGTCTATGAATTGTAAACCATCCTCATAATGTAAAACTAAATTAAAAATAAAATGTTTTATACAAACAACTGTGTGATATCACTATTGTGTGCGTTGTTAAACTATTAACCTTTGTTGGTTGGGGGAAACTTGTTACTATCTAGAGATATTCGTTTCAAAACTAACCTTAGTGCCAGAACTCAGCAGGGTTGTCTTGAAACCCGCTAACTTTCTCATATTATTCATTAAGCCTATGTTTTTAAAACTTTTTCTTAATTAAAATATCTCATAAATTAAATTTAAACTTTTATAGTCCTGACACGACTAAATTATATACCATAATAAACTAGTAATAATGAAACACATTATTATATCATAAACCTTGATATTTAAAATCTTTGAGATGATAAACTATCTACCAAAATATGTAAGATAAAAAAAATTGTCTGTCTGTGAGCTATCTTATAGTATACAGATAAAAAATTAATAATTATATAAAGTAAAATGGCTTGTGTATGTGTACTGCATAATATTATTATTTAAGTGTTTAAATGTATGGAGAAGGTGGTCTTGTTTTGGAAGAGTAATAATACACGAGACTATATCAATGTTATAATATATGTTTACTTAGTTTTGGCTAAGAAAATCTGTTTTATAGAAAATACCAAAAATATTTAATAAGCTAAAATTCCTAGTGAATTGAAATGTAAAAAACGATTACAAGTGAAGTTTGGTAAGACATTTTAAAGTACTGTAATTTTTATGATTTGTGACAAAATTTGATCTTTTGAAAAAATAATTAATGCATCAAACTAATATTTGTGTTCTAAATTGCTAAATAAAACTTATTGTGTACCTTCTGTTAAATTTTTTAGTCATATAATTGTATTAACAAATACCTAGCAATTAAAATTATACATATAAAACATAAAAATACCAAACTCTTAGAATGTTTTGAAAATTACTACCTAATTTAATGCATATCTGTTAGCAACGATAAACTATTGCTAATAAAAAACCGATTCTGAGCGGAGTTCAGTTGATAGTGTTGCTTTGTCAAAAACACAATATATTATAGTAAAATGATTACAATAATGTTTGTTTCCATGATAACTATGATTGTTTAATAAAGATTTAAAATTTATAAAACTCAATAATAACAATAAATAAATAAAAACAGTTGCCAATGACAACCTTATTTTTAATCTTTCAATCTTTTTTAATGTGAATTTTAAAAGATGACCTCCATAGTACCACCCAGAGAACATTTCCTTTCAGTAAAGGTGCTATACTTGATAATCAGATTAAGCTTTTTGGTAGAAAAAGTGTTTATGAAAAAAAAAAAAATAATGATTGTAAAACCAATACATTCCTTGATCCACTCATAATCTAAAATTAATTTTTTTTTGATTAAAGCAATATTTTCGTCATTTCAATTAAAATAATATTATATTGCACGTCATAAATATTTGCTGTTTTTCTTGATAATTTTTTTTTACTGTTGTACTTAACTCTTTAAAAATACAAACAATGACCTCCCTAAAGTAGTTGTCAACTAGATATAAGATAAAATTAACTTTTAGAAAAGGTGCTACACTTGATACTTCGGAGCAAGATTACTGGTAGAAAAGTTGTCCAAAAGCACAAAGAAAAAAAGCAGTAAAACCATTAGATTTCTCACTATGCCTGAGTCTAAAATGTAAGTTCCTATATCTGTGTACTTTTTGGGCCATTCGATTAAGAATTATGCTGTCAGTGGCTCAATGCTTAGACTCGAGAGCTTTTCAAAAAATAGTTATAATATAAAATATCCAAAATCAACGGAAGCCACTAGAACACATTACACGTGATTAATCATTTTTCGTTGAGTTATTTCAAAACTAATACATTAATAAATTCAAAATTCACTGTCCATGTTCAATAATAATATTATGCCCAAGTACATTATTAAATCGTTTTTTGCGTTATTATTGACCTCTGAACAAAAAAACGTTATCTGAAACAAAATGCAAAAAATAGTCTGTAAGAAAATTAGCTTTCTCTTTGATAAAAACTAAAATAAACTACCTAGTTTTTTTTTTTTTATCATGACTACTCGCGATTTCATAACAGATATTATATTTTATTTTTATTGTAGGTACTATGCCTCAACGACTAAACATATTTCTGTACAGCTACCGAGTCGCCAGTATCATTATGTATCATACATAATGGTATTCTTTTTTTTCGTGGACTGTTTACGACCAGATACCTACGGGTAAAGTTTGGAATCATCGCGGTGGTTTTTTTATTTATTTATTCATTTATTTTTATCTTATTACGAATAAAGTTTTATCGGCCGTACATTCGCTTTAGATCGCAGGATCGGTTTTTTTTCTTTCTCCTGTCCCTAAAAATCCGTACCTCCCTTCGCGACTTTCCGACGTATCATTCTAGGTACATAACCCAAGCGCCGTACCATACGTACGATAATAATAATACGTTGCCGACATATGAGGTCTCGGTCGGGGGTATAATAGTTTGTTATGCCTACCTATTTATGAGATATCTATCTACCCACCCTGTTATATAGGAAGAAAAACTCGATCAAAGGTAAGGCTGCTCGTTGTATTATAAGCCAACAATTCCGTGTTTTATTATAATAATTTGAATGGCGTTCGTTCACAAAATCAAATAGTTTGTCGGTTTTCCAGGCGCCCTTTTCATTGAGCTACTAAAAAGTTTGCGTAGGTACCAACTAAAAAATGATCACTGTCTCCTAACCTCAAACGAGTCAAATGTCATTTTGTTAAAAACATCACTTTTTTGACAGTTATATGACTTTAGAAGGCTTTTTCTTGAAATATAATATTTAATAATTAAGTAAATTACATTATTTCGTATGGAAATTAGAACTATTATCACATGTTGCATAATAATTAGTAATTTTTAAATGATAAACTGATTTAAAATACTTATTATCATTACTACGTAACTTGATAGCAAAAGAATGTGAGTAATCATTATCGTTAGAGCCCGGATTTATATGCATTTGCATGTTTGTACTAAGTTGCATACACGTCTATGGGGGTTTAAAATGTCCACGGATCATATCACACCGAATTTAAACTCCAAATTTTATATTGCATATTTTGCATATTTGTTCATAAATGCATTTAACATGAATATTTAATTGGTTTTTAATAAATTAACTATTAATAAACATACACTCGCGTCCCAGCTTATTATGTCGATATCATTCTATAAATAATCACATTGTGTTTTCGCGTAGCATTATATAAGCTATATTTATAAATCTTATTTAGTTACCTTATTTAGTTATACCGGTACCTAATAATNTTTGGGTTCATCCATAACTGTTTGGGTTGAGCCTTACAATCACGACAAAACTGTGTTTACCACTAGTGGATTAGTAGTTTATTGTCAAGTTTGTGATCGTCAGGTGCGGTGTAACAAAAAATTTCAAATAACGCAACATGTAACTACCGAGTTTCATTTGAAATGTTTGAAAAAAACTTCTAAAACAGTAAACAAATGTTGTTGGGAGATGAAACCAAACCAAAAACATCAAGTTTTAATGAAGATCTGTGTTTGAGCCTCGTAGCTGCAAATATACCTTGGTTTAAACTACAAAAGCCAGTCTTCCGCGACTTTTTACAAAATCATACAAAAAAACAACATTCCTGATGAAAGCACTCTACGCACTCTAAGTCTTTCTTACATCCATGTTATGTAAAAACAATTGAAAAAATTAGAGAAAAAATTGGGGACTCGTATATATATTTAGTCGTTGATGAAACTACAGAACTACAGATATCAATGGTAGTTATATTGCAAATCTTTTAGTTGGTGTGTTAAATGAACAAAATGCTAGCAAATCATTTTTAATTTCATGTTTAAAATTTAGATAAAACTAATCATTCGACGATTTCTCGCTTTGTAAANATGTAAAAACAATTGAAAAAATTAGAGAAAAAATTGGGGACTCGTATATATATTTAGTCGTTGATGAAACTACAGATATCAATGGTAGTTATATTGCAAACCTTTTAGTTGGTGTGTTAAATGAACAAAATGCTAGCAAACCATTTTTAATTTCATGTAAAAAATTAGATAAAACTAATCATTCGACGATTTCTCGCTTTTTGTAAATGACAGCCTAAGAATATTGTGGCCTCATGGTGGGGATGTTGAAAAAGTATTACTTTTATGTTCCGATGCAGCGTCATATATGATCAAAGCTGGTAAAACA